GGCACTGTCCCTCAGCTCTTCAGCTCAAGGCGAGCACTCTACCACTTGAGCTACAGCGCCACTTCCGGTTTTCTGGTGGTTTATTGGAGATAAGAGTTTCACAGACTTTCCTGCCCAGATTGGCTTTGAACTGCGATCCTTGGATCTCAACCTCCTGAGTAGCTAGGATTACAGGCATGAGCCACCGGCGCCTGGCTTTTCTGGATGAATTTTGTAACAGACTCCTGTAGCTCCAAAAAATGCTGACTCTTTCTGACTGACTTTTAGTTCAAGACCTTGGTTGTAGGAGTCTGTTTTCACAAATCCTTGAGATTAACATTCTGTAGCACCTAAAACTTGATGTTTACCTTTTTTAGTTTTCATTTATTTTGCAGTGTTGGGGCTTGAACTCAGCGCATTGTCTTTGCTTGGCTTGCTTGCTTGATTGGCAGTCCTTAAACCACTCCTCCAGTCCTACATTTTGCTGATTTTTAGGAATCTCAAGGAATTTTCTGTCTGGACTGGCTTTGAACTGTGCCTTGTATTTCAGCCTCTGCAGTTGCTAGGATTACAGGCATGGGCCACCAGTGCCCAGCTCCTTTAAAAACTTACAGCTATGTGTTCAAATATGCTTTAGGAATGCTGAGCAAATTTTCCAAGTCATGGAGCAGGAGGCCCAGCGCCCTTTGTGTCATCTCTGAGCTCCGAGTGGCGCTGCCTTCAGACTGCCCATGTCACTTCTGGGAAGCACCCGCTTCACTGCCCCCCGCGGTCTTGCTGTGCAGTGTAGTGTCTCCAGCACCGTCGCTTCATGGACAGACACTGGCGATACAGGAGCCTAACTGCATACAGCTGCACATGGCACCACCCTGCCTTCACAAGGGACACCGAGACTGCCACTTGGCAAAATAACTCCTCACAGATTTTGATGGTGGTGGGGTGCTGTTACCAGGGAACAAACCCATGATTTTGCAAGAGTCAGGCAGGTGCATTGCCACTGAGCTAGAACACAGCTGCTCCCCCAGATTTCTTTACCTTATCGGGTAGGGGTCGTGTTTTTGTGATTCAAAGTGTAGACACGATTGTGTTGTTTGCTATAGCCAACATTCAATTATTACAAAATAATTTAAAATGATAGAGCTACAGCTCTGAGAAAAAAGTCCAGCCAAGAGTTTAGGACCCTGACTTCAAGCCCCAATACCACACACAAAAGTTTAGTGGAACTTTATGGTACTTTATCCACTAAGTTTCGAGTGAATAGCAAGTGTTTACGTTGATAATTCAATGACAACTTGTAACTTCCATAGGTACAAAAGCAGCTGAGTCCAAAGGAGCATTCTTTCCTAAAGAAGAGTCTCCATCCTCTGAGTCTTCACTGAGGGACTGCTTGTTGAACTTTCACCCTACACCTCAGGACCAGTAGCTCAAACCCAGAAAGGCCTAGGCGCACTTCCCACGCTGCTGATACCATTTCCTCACATTTTATCTCCTCCCATTTAAAAATAAAGTCAGATTTTCAGCAACTTCTGTTTTGCTTTTCTTTTCTTTTGTTTCTGTGTAGCCAGGGCTAGCCACAAATTCATGATCCTCCTGCTCCACCCTCTGGGTGCACCACACCCGTCCTGCAGCAGCTGTCTCTTATTCCCCGAGAGCGTCCTCTGGGGACGTGGCCTGTGCGGAGCTCGGGAAATGGTAAAGTGACCATCTTTGGACATACTTTCTTAGCTGAACGTAAGACATTGTGGCAGTTACAGTTTTTAAAGGTGCAGTTGTGAAGAAGTAGATAGATATTTAGAGCATCGAGACTTTTCTCTGAATTTTAATTACACTAAAGGACCTCGTGATCATTCGTTAGGGACAAAGAGGATTTAGGAGCACAGATCCTGAATGGTGCGCCCTTGGAAACAAGCTGTTCACCTAGGAAACCACCTGGCTCCCCTGGGAGCTCTCCAGAGGGACAGGTTAGCCTGGCAGAGAGAGGTGTAAGAACTTTATGTTAATGTTGTAGCATACTTTGTTTGTTAATTTAGTTGGTTGGTTGGTTGTGGGTCCTGACCTCTGGGCCTGGGCGCTGTCCCTCAGCTCTTCAGCTCAAGGCGAACGCCCTACCACTTGAGCCACAGCGGCACTTCTGGCTTTTTCTGCTTATGTGGTGCTGTGAATCGAACCCAGGGCCTCACGCATGCAAGGCAAGCGCTCCACCACTGAGCCACCTTCCCAGCCCCTGTAGCATACTTTAATAAAGCCAAATGCTAATAAACTGGTTAATCATTTTATATAGTAGCATTATCTAGGCCTTCTGCGTCAATGTATGTTTGTATGGACAGTTCCAGAGTAAAGTTCCATCATGAATATGCCTCTTTTAAAAGACCCAACAGCAGGTGAGGTCTTGGGCCCCTGAGTTTGTCAATGTGAAATAAGGCCTTCCTCCATTCTGCAGGGCAAGACCCCGGCTCCAACGCTAGCCGGCTCCACCACGCCACAGCTGCCGCCCACTCACTTCCTGTTTATGTAAATAACTAAGTTTTGTCTTACCAATTGATGCTGGAGAGCACCGCAGTGAGCATTCCCAACAGTGCCTAAGAGGTGGTTGTTTGTCAGTAGCCAGTCCTGGGTGGAGAAAGGAGGCCCACAGGAGAACAGGCCGCCGCCAGCTGAGGCTCCTCCGCCTCTGTAAGCTGACGGCCTTATCAGAAATAGGAACAGCTGCAGTGGTAAAACATCATGCACTGGGAAGTAGAAGATCAATTCCATCTTTGGTAGTTCTTAAATCACATTTAAATCTCTCCTTCTTTAAAGTATCTTTTTCAAGCGTAAAAAGCCAGGTGCCTGTGGCTCACACTTGTCATCAGGATTGCAGTTTGAAGCCAGCTTAGGCAGGAAAGTCCATGAGACTCTTATCTCTAATAAACCACCAGAAAACTGCAAGTGGTGTCATGGCTCAAGTGGTAGAGCGCTCACCTTGAGCAGAAATGCTCAGGAATAGCACCCAGGCTCAGAGTTCAAGCCCCACGACCAACCAAAAAAAGAAACACACTTTTGAGATTAAAAAGATAAAGAATTTTTTTTTTTTTGAACCAGGGTTTTGCTTTCAGTCAGCATCTCATGACCAGGCTGGCCTCAAAAGTCGATCCTCCTGCCTCAGCCTCCCAAGGAAGTTTCTTCATTACAAACAAAATATATGGTGGAGGCTGAGCACAGTGGCTCACACTTGTAATCCAGCTTCTTGGTAGGAAAAAATATCAAGATGATCAACAGGATTGCAGTTTGAAGTCAGCCTGGACAAAAACGTAAGGTAACATCATCTTAATCCATAAAGTGGTAGCTTGAACCTGCAGTCCCGCAGCAGGGAGTGGTGAGGGTCCTGGGCCAGAGCTGGCCTGAGGAAAACATCAGACTCTTATCTGAAAAGCAGCTAAAGCACAGAAGGACTGGAGGTATGGCCTGAGAGGTAGAGTACCTGCCTAGTAAGTATGAAACCTCGAATTGAAAAGCCAGTACCAAGCAGGACACTGTTAGCTCACCCCTCTACTCCTCGCTACTCAGGAGGCTGACATCGGGATTGCCCATTGGAAGCCTGGCAGACACAGGCACAAGACTCCTCATAACCAGCAAACAAGCAGAACTGGAGGCATGGCTGAGGAGGTGGAGTACCAGCTATGAGCAGGACAGACTACGCAGGACAAGGAGGCTCTGAGTTGGAGACCCATACTGACATTTAAATTAATGAATGAGTAAGAAACTACTACCAAAACTGTCTTAAGTATGATGAAATATGCCTCCTCATCCTCCTCAGAACGAGCTTGCAAATTGTATTTCTCTATTCAAAAGTAAACTTTTAAGGAGGAAAAGAATACATTATTATTAGTTACTTATTTTGGTCTAATTCTAGAAACAAAAGTCAAGGAATTAGCAGATAGAATCATGAGTTGAGCTGTGAAGGCCTGGGCGCTGTCCCTGAGCTTTTTCGCTCAAGGCTAGCACTCAACCACTTGAACCACAGCTCCATTTCTGGCCTCCTCCTTCCTTCCTTCTTCTTTTGGTTGTTAATTGGAGATGAGTCTCACAGACTTTCCTGCTTGGGCTGGCTTTAAATCGTAATCCTCAGATCTCAGCTTCCTGAGTAGTGATGATTATAAGCAGGAGCCACTGGCGTTCGGCGAGGTAAGCATTATGTGACCTGGGTTTTTTGTTGTTGTTGTTGTTTGTTTGTTTTTAGTCGGTTCAGGAGCTTGAACTCGGCCTGGGCGCTGTCCCTCAGCTCAAGGCAAGCGCTCTACCACTTGAGCTACAGCGCCACTTCCGGTTTTCTGTTTATTAGAGATAAGAGTGTCACAGACTTTCCTGCCCTGGCTGGCTTTGAACCGCAATCCTCAGATCTCAGCCTCCTGAGTAGCTAGGATTACAGGCGTGAGCCACCAGTGCTCAGCTGTGACCTGGTTTTTGTGATGAATGATTAGTAAGTGTGGCCAGCACTGGTTTGATGGCTTAGGCCTCTACTTGCTGTCTCAGTTTTGTTTTGTTTTTTGGGGGTCCGGTCATGGGGCTGGAACTCTGGGTCTGGGCGCTGTCCCTCAGCTCTTCAGCTCAAGGCGAGCGCTCTACCACTTGAGCCACAGCGCCACTTCTGGCTTTTTTCATTTTGCTTCTGTGGTGCTGGGGAATCGAACCCAGGGCCTCAGGCGTGCGAGGTGAGCCCTCTACCACTGAGCCGCCTTCCCAGCCCCTGCTGTCTCAGTTTTGGTGGCACTTTTCATCATAGCTACATCTCCAGAGTGAAAGAAACAATGCCTAGACACACAAGAGGCGTTGAGACCCACACTATCTCTTGGTGCCTAGCACTGGGCAGCTCACCCATCAGCCTGTTTCCAGCATGTTCCATGTAGAAATGCATGTGCCAGGCTTGCACATACACTCCCTGAAAGTGGTAGCTGCGGTCTGAGTCCTGATGCTACTTCTAGTGTGTGGTGAGCACCGCAGCCCTTCTCATTCCTGCTCCACCCCTGCCCGTTCATTTCCAGGCCTTTCCATGGACAGTCCTCAGCCTCCACCCTCAAGCCAGAGGAGCCTGCAGAGCCTGAGCCCTGCGCTTCCGGCGGGCCTGGGCCCGGCCGAGCAGGCCTTGTCCCCTGTTGTGAGCCCTGTCCTTAGCAGTGCTGGTAGAAGGTGGATGGATGACCAAGAGGAGCTGAAACACAAGGTGAGCCTCTTGGGCTGAGGGGTTTGCAAACCTTCCCTCTGCTGAGATGCTGTCCACAGCACATGGAGATGGGGAAGGGCGCTGCCTCAGGACCACCCGTGAGCCTCCGCACATCCCCAGCAGACTATTGCAAGACGTGGACCTTTGGGTTCTCCTGGGCCTCAAGAGGCTTCTTGTTAACAGGAAGAGGACAGACAGCTGCAACCCAGGGAAGCCTGCCTCCTCCCCCTCCCCCTCCCCCTCCCCCTGCTCCTGCCTCCTCCCCCTCTTCTTACCTCCTCCCCCTCCCCCTCCCCCTGCTCCTGCCTCCTCCCCCTCTTCTTACCTCCTCCCCCTCCCCCTCCCCCTGCTCCTGCCTCCTCCCCCTCTTCTTACCTCCTCCCCCTCCCCCTCCCCCTGCTCCTGCTCCTGCCTCCTCCCCCTCTTCTTACCTCCTCCCCCTCCTCTTACCTCCTCCCCCTCCCCCTGCTCCTGCCTCCTCCCCCTCTTCTTACCTCCTCCCCCTCCCCCTGCTCCTGCCTCCTCCCCCTCTTCTTACCCCCTCCCCCTCCCCCAGCTCCTGCCTCCTCCCCCTCCTCTTACCTCCCCCTCCTCTTACCTCCTCCCCCTCCTCTTACCTCCTCCCCCTCCCCTCCCCCTCTTCTTGCCTCCTCCCCCTCTCCTTGCTCCGGCCTCCCTCTTTGCTTCCATCCTGACCATTTAGTGACTTGGAAAAGACTGTAAACAACTAGGGGATTGGGGGTGGGGGGGTCGGGAGGTTCTCAGATGGGAGACCCAAGAGCTGTGGGGCTCTGGCCAAAAGCTGGTGAGGGTGCGGAGCCTGCAGCAGAGCCAGTCCTGTGCTTCGTGGCAGGAGTGGGTTCTTGGCTGGGGAGCAGCAGGGCTGTGGCTGTGCGTGTCTGCAGTGCGGCGTGAGTGGAGCCATGGTGAGGTGAGCAGGCAGAGCCGCTGGCTGGCTCGTGCGTACGGGAGACGTGCAGTGGCCTCCCGTCTCGTGGCAGGTGATACAATCTACAGGGCCCACCGGAGGCTACAGCTGGGCAGAAGGGCCACAAGAAAGGTCTAGAGAGGCCCAGCTTAAAATGAGCTCCAGCTGTGCCTAGGGGCACGGGGGGGGGGGGGGGGGGGGAGCATCAGCCAGAAGAGAGAGGGCGTGGGGCCTGCTCAGTGGGTCTGCCGCAGAAGAGGCCTGCCCTCCACAGCGCCCTGCTCATCCGCCTCCTGTGCCTGTCACTGAGATGATGAGCAACTCTTCCAACAGGGAAGGCGGTGTGGGATTCCATTTTGAAGGTCACATCCATGGCCTGTTGGCCCTGCTGTGTTGGGCCTGAGTGTCAGTCGTGGTGGAGGTCATGGCTAGGCCAGGGTTAGGAGCCTCACCCCTGTGGGAGCATGTCCCCAGGGACCTCAAGGGGTCCCCCTTGCTCCACCCAAGCCTTAGTACATGAAGAACATTCCAGATTAAGCTGTAACAGTGAATTAACTGAGACCAGGGTTCCCGGATGGACGCGCCCCACAAGGCATGAGGCTGGGCGTTCCTTCCCTGAGTGCCTGCCCTGAGCAGCCCCAGAACCAGAAGATGGGGGGTTGGGCCCCAGGAGGCCCAGGCCTGGGCTGGCACACGCCCTCCTCAGAACACAGGCCCCTGCTGATCCCCTGTGCTTGTCTTGTAGACATTTATTTTGGAAACTTAATTTCTTCAGTACAAAAAAAAAAATGGCTTAGAGGAAATCTGTCCTTAAAAGTCACTTTTTTCTGGGTGCGTTTCTCCAGGGCTTTAAGTCAGGGCCTTTTTTGCTTAAAGCTAGCTCTCTACCTCTTGTGCCTCAGCTCCACTTCTGCCTTTTTTATTTTTTATTTTTGCCAGTGCTGGAGCCTGAACTCTGAGCCTGGGCGCTGTCCCTCAGCTCTTCAGCTCAAGGCTAGTACTCTACCACTTAAGCCATACCTCCACTTCCAGCTTTTTCTGCTTATGTGGTTCTGAGGAATCGAACCCAGGGCCTCATGCATGCAAGGCAAGCGCTCTACCATTGAGCCACCTTCCCAGCCCTGGCTTTTTTTTTTTTGGGGGGGGGGGTCTGGTCATGGTGCCTGAACTCTGGGCCTGTGTGCTGTCCCTCAGCTCTTCAGCTCAAGGCTAGCGCTCTACCACTTGAGCCACAGCGCCACTTCTGGCTTTTTTCTTTTTGCGTATGTAGTGCTAAGGAATCGAACCCAGGGCCTCATGCATGCAAGGCAAGCGCTCTACCACTGAGCCACCTTCCCAGCCCTGGCTTTTTGTTTTTTTAACAAAGAAAAACTCATGTTTCCATTTCCTAGAGTTCATTTCTTTTTTTTTCTTTTTTTTCTTTCTTTTTTTTTTTTTTGGTCGGTCCTGGGGCCTGAAAGCTAGGCCTGGGCGCTGTCCCTCAGCTCTTCAGCTGAAGGCTGAGCGTCAGCCCCACTTCTGGCTTTTTCTGCTTATGTGGTGCTGAGGAATGGAACCCAGGGCCTCATGCATGTAAGGCAAGCACTCTACCACTAAGCCACCTTCCTAGCCCCCCTAGACTTCATTTCAATAAATAGTTTTGGGGGTTTTTTGGGGGGTCCGGTCATGGGGCCTGAACTCTGGGTCTGGGCGCTGTCCCTCAGCTCTTCAGCTCAAGGATAGCGCTCTACCACTTGAGCCATAGCACCACTTCCGGCTTTTTTCTTTTTGCTTATGTGGTGCTGAGGAATCGAACCCAGGGCCTCATGCATGCAAGGCAAGCGCTCTACCACTGAGCCACCTTCCCAGCCCCATCAATAGTTTTACATGATCTGAGGCACAGAGACATTGTGCCTTTGTGTTCCTCTCTTATGAATATCCTCCTTTGGTTTCCCTGTGTCTGGATGCCTACTGCCCTATATAACATATCATGTCCTGGTGTATTTTAAATCTGCCTTCCACAAATGAGAAGAAATGTATACCATTTGTCTCTCTGAGTTGGCATCATTCTCATTTAACATGATTTGTTCTAGGTTCCTCCATTTCCCTGCACATGACATAATGTTCCTTTCTGTATACGTACCACATTTTCTAGATCCACTCATCATTGTAGGGCCTCTGGGCAGTTTGTATAACTGGGCTGGTGTGAATACTGCAGCCGTGAGGCATGCTGGCTTGTGAAGTTCTGGGTAGATAGCCCAGGAGTGGTATGGCTGGGTCTTAGAGAAGACCTCCAGACTGCTGACCAGAGTGGCTGTGGTAGTGTACATTCCCACCAACAGGGCACAACAGGGCCCCTTTTTCCCTACATCCCCACCAACATTTGTTGTTAGAATTCATGATGTTGGCCAATCTAACTGAAGTGAGATAGAGTCTCAGTATTGTTTTAATTTGCATTTTCTTTATGGCCAGAGATGATGAGCATTTCCTCCTATGTTTCTTTGCCATTCTTACATCTTCTTCTGAGAAGTCTCTCCTTAGCTCTTTTGCCTATTTAGTGATTGGTTTATTGGCTTTGGGTGGGGTTAGATTCTTCTCCTTGTATATTTAGGATGTTAAGCCTTTGTCAGATGTAATACTTGTAAAGATCTATCATTTTAGTTTAGTAACTACATCCTTTGCCATGCAGAAACCACTTCTAGCTTTTTGGTGGTTAATTAGAAATAGGAGTCTCATTCCTATCCAGAATGGCTTTGAATCCTGATCCTTAACCTCCTGAGTAGGTAGGATTACAGGTGTGAGCCACTGGCATACAGCTAAATGTAACTTTTTTTTGGGGGGGAGGGTCTGGTCGTGGGGCCTGAACTCTGGGCCTGGCTGCTGTCCCTGAGCTATTTTGCTCAAGGCTAGCACTGTACCATTTTGAGCCACAGCACAGTGGTTTTCTTGTGGTTACTTGAAGATAAGAGTCTCAGAGATATTCTTGCCCAGGCTGGCTTCAAACCGCAGTCCTCAGATCTAAGCTTCCTGCATAGCTAGGATTACAGGCATGAACTACCAGCACTCAGCTAAAAGTAACTTAATATGTTACCGTACTACAGTAAATAGGTATGTGCAATACACACACACACACACACACACACACACACACACACACACACACAGTGCTAAAGATTCATCCAGGACCTCATACATGCTAAGCAAGTGCTCTACTGAGCCAGAGATGGTGGAAGTGCCCTCCCACCATGTGTATGGGCTGAGAACTGCCCCGGTGCGTCCTTTAGTGGAGAGGGTGCCCTGTCCCCATTCTCGGTTGCCGCCCCCGTGGCCCTGACCCGCAGCGTGCTTGCCTGGGTGCTGCTGGGGCAGGGCAGCTGGCTGTGGTGCTTCCCACCCTCCTGCTGGCTTTGTGTAGGCCACTGCGTCCCGCGGGAAGGTGGAGGCTGTGGGGAAGTGCAGTGTGTGGTCACCAACAGTGCACCTCCAGGCCATCTCTCACCCTTCTTGCTGTGTTTTGACCCGTGTCCCAGGAGTGAGGAGCTGGTCTGGAACTTGGGGAGCCTGTCTCTGTAGAACAACACGCAGAGTTAAGTGTTTGGGGACCCATTGCAAAGGTAGCTGCAGCTAGGAGGTAGTCTCTCCTGGGTGGGACCCCCCTGCATCCCAGGCCAGTGGGTGGGTGTCCATGTCCACAGTCCTTGTGCCTCAGCTGTGGGGTTGGTAGCAAGGGTCCAGAGTCTGCAGGGGTTTGCAGACCACAGCCATCTCTCACCCCAGGGAGTTCATGGAACACACCGACCCAGTCAGTAGAGATAGGACTTTATAAAGGATCTTACTGAATTTGGACTTGAAAAGGCCATTAAAAACAACACCACAACCCCCCCCCCCCCTTTTTTTTCCCAAGTACAAAGGTTGGAAAGGGGATTGAGCTTCTCTTCTGGGGTGGAGGGTCAGTGCCCCAGGGACAGTATGGGGACACCGCGTGGACACAGCAGGGCCTGTGCCCTCCCCTAGGGGGCAGTGTTGGGAGGAGGCATGGCTTCCGGGAGGGGCCGGCCGGCTCACTGCTGGGTGGGCTGGGAGTGGTCCCAGCAGTGCGTGGAGGGAGCCACCTCTACCATCAGGCATGGGCGCAGGGCACGCGGGTGAGCTCGGCTGCCCTCCTTCATCCACGGGGGCTCCGTGAGCCTGCCGTAGCTCTCCTGAGCCTAAGCACCAAATGGGGCCTCCTCAGCCCTGATCTTCCTCCCTCGCCCTTCCTCTTGGTGGCCATCCCTCACCCGCCACATCTGCCCAGCACCACCTCACTGGCTGCTGCAGAGCTCACCAAAAGCCATCTCCGTGTACCCCAGCCCTGAGCACACCCCAACCCCGAGTGCACCTCTGAACCTGAGAATACTGAGTACTCCAACCCCAAGTGCACCCGACTGAGTGTATCCTGACCTCAAGTGCACCCCAACCCCAAGTGTACTCCAACCCTGAGCGCACCCTGACCCCGAGTATACCCTGAACTTGAATGCACCCCAACCCCGAGTGCACCCCAACCCTGAGTGCACCCCGACCCTGTGTGCACCCCAACCCTGAGTGTACCCTGACCCTGAGTGCACCCCGACCCCAGTATACCCGGATCCGAGTGTACCCCAACCCCAAGTGCACCCTGACCCTGAGTGCACCCCAATCCCGAGTGCACCCCGACCCCGAGTGCACCCCAAGTGTACTCCGACCCTGAGCGCACCCTGACCCTGAGTATACCCTGACCTTGAATGCACCCCAACCCCAAACACCCCAACCCCGAGTGCACCCCAACCCTGAGTGTACCCTGACCCTGAGTGTACCCCAATCCAAGTGTACCCCAACCCTGAGTTTACTCCAACCCCGAGTATACCCTGATCCCGAGTGTACCCCAACCCCGAGTGCACCCCGACCCTGTGTGCACCCCGATCCCAAGTGTACCCCAACCCCGAGTGTACCCCAATCCCGAGTGTACCCTGACCCCGAGTACACCCCGACCCTGAGTGCACCCCAATCCCAAGTGTACCCTGACCCCGAGTGCCCCGAGTGCACCCAACCCTGAGTGCACCCCAATCCTGAGTATACCCCAACCCCGAGTATACCGCAACCCCGAGTGTACCCCAACCCCAAGTGTACCCCAATCCCAAGTGTACCCCAACCCCGAGTGCCCCAGTGCACCCCAACCCCTAGTGTACCCCAACCTTGAGTACACCCCAACCTGGCATGTACCCCAACCCAGAGTGTACCCCAATCTTGAATGCACCCCGAGTGTATCCTGTCCCTTGAGTGTACCCCAACGCCAAGTGTCCCCAAACTTTAGTGCCCCCCGACTCGAGTGTACCCTGAGTGTCTAACCAGAGCCTGGTGTCTTGCCTCCTCCAGAGGCCTTTCCTTCCCCCTCCAGAACCCATCTGATCCCCTATTGCCCCACCCACCTCACCCCTGCTCTCTGACCTCTGCCCTGCTTTCCAGCTCACGCTGTCCAGTCCGAGCAAGGCCGTAGCCTGCCCTCATTCTCCCAGCCCCGCTCCCATCCTCCCCTGCCCCACCTGTGCTCCCCTCCCCCTCACTGGCTCTGCTTCTTTGAGGCATAGTGAGTGTGAGGACCTGGGATCCAGGCCCTGTCCCAGGTCTCTGTGGGAGCTGCCCAGTCCATAGGGGCTTCCGGGCCTGTCTGCTCTGGAGAAGCGCAGGGCAAGCAGCCAGGGTCTCTGCAATGGAAGAGGGTGGAGGAGGGCCGGCAGCCACAGGCCAGTGTGAGGGTCCTCAGGTGAGGTCCCTGTGTGCGACGGACCAGCTCGGCCGGAGCACTGGGAGCACTGGATCTCGGGATAGGTGGGCAAAGGAGTCAGCGAGGTGACAGACACAGACTCAAAAAAGCTGCATCTGAGTGTATCTTCATTGAGGAGAACTAACATTTTTATGCAGTGTGTGATTGTGACATAGACTCTTCATTTATTTAAGCACGTAATCAATTTTTTTAAGGCAAAGCATTGATGAATTACATGAAAATTGATGACAGCCCCACCAACTGTTTAAGCTAAGTGGTGCGAAACAAGTCTAGCATATATTGTTTAATAGAATGCGTCATCTACTCAGCCTTTTTATGTTTAATAATTAACAAACCTAAGACAGGGCTGAACTTATATTGTACTCTTTTTATTTTTATTTTTATCCAACTATTTTCATCTTTATAAGCTCCTGTATAAGGAAATGGTTCTTCAGTTGGTCCAGGAAACATGATGTTACTAAGTTTGTATTTTGTGTGAAACCACCATCTATTCCCTATAACGTAATTGGACTAAACTTAATCATAACTGTTGGGAGAATCTTTTTCTTTTATAATCAGAGATCCCTTTTTTTTTTTTTAGAACTCTCTGAACTACTGGGATAACTCTTTCTAACAGTTTAATTCATTGATTTTGTCTGTTGGACATATCTGGAAATTTTAAGTCTCTATATTTACTATGCGTGAGCTGCAGAACCGCTTGTGAAGTTGTAGGCGTTTCTGGAGGCAATGTCACATCAGATGATAGATTGATTGGGGCATTGCCCACATTTAATCTTTGGTCTTAGTCTTTATTACTTAGAGAAGCCGTCTCTATTGAACTGGAAAGATACAACATGCTCTGTTTGCGGATCAATAGAAAAATAGCCAAAATGAGAATAAAGGCAACGAATGTACATCCAAGAAGAATATAGTAAGAATAAAGGTAGAGGGGGCTGGGAAGGTGGCTCAGTGGTAGAGCACTTGCCTTGCATGCTCGAGGCCCTGGGTTCGATTCTTCAGCACCACATAAGCAAAAAGAAAAAAGCCGGAAGTGGCGCTGTGGCTCAAGTGGTAGAGTGCTAGCCTTGAGCTGAAGAGCTGAGGGACAGCGCCCAGGCCCAGAGTTCAGGCCCCACGACCGGACCCAAAAAAAAAAAGAATAAAGGTAGAGGCTATAAAGGTGCAGCCAAGTGTAGGGGAAGTCTTGAACCAACACTCCCTTCCTGCAGGCATGCTTCCTTGAAGCTCTTTGTCTAACGCCATCTCTCACACAGACTCCGCAGGAGGTGGCATGGCACCTGTGCCCATCACTGACTGCCCGCCAGACACCTGAACACCAGGCAGCACTGGCCTGGAGGGCTTAGGAGCTTCTGGGACTGGGCCATCACTGCACTCAGGGCCCAGGGTTGGGGCCTGCTTCAGGAAGTGATCAGCTAGCCTGGGACTCTGGCACACGTATGTGCATTTTAGTGAGTTAGGTTTAATTGTTTATAATCACACATATGCATATATGCTATACATATACACTTACAGCTCTTGTCTGTAACCAGCTATTCCACTGGCAGTGATGGATGAATAATACTTTTACCACAAAACAAATAATAAGCTCCAGCCCTATTTGTCTGTGTGTGTGTGTGAACAACTTCTCTTCAAAAGAATAACATAAAAGAAAAATAAGTGAAGGAAATATGTCCAGACTTAATTATGACTACGTTTTCACTTACAAATAAGTTCCTTTAGACACTATGGCCAAAAGTTCTATGAGAATATGAATTGAGCTGAAGAAAGCAATGGTTGCCAACTGCAGATTCTCCGTGAACATGGAAGGGATACAGACCCAGACATACGCTCATAGCGATCTCTGCTTCTTACAGCGTGTGCCAGAAGATGAGGCCTATTTCATAGCAAAGGAGATCCTCTCGACAGAGCGGACATACCTGAAGGATTTAGAAGTCATTACTGTGGTATGAAGCCTAAGTGCTTGATTGCTTTTTTTTAAATATGTGTTACGTCTAAACAGACACAAGCCCCCTCCTAAGAAATGCCTCTTGCCACTCAGAAGATATGTATATGTAAATCTTACGTATGTCTGTCTTGAGGCATGATCTATAGCAGGTCACAATGTTGAGGTCCAACTTTTGGCAGAACTGTAAAGCTGAGACTGTGTCCATTTGAAAGTGTTGACCTGAACACATGGTCAACAGGGGGGACGGCCGGCCGGTCCTCCCCACGGTGTGGTGCTGGGCCCGGCGGGGTCTAGCGGAGGCCCTGCCTGCCCTCATGCCCTGCTCCCCACAGTGGTTCCGCAGTGCCGTGGTCAAGGAGGACGCCATGCCTGCAGCCCTCACGACGCTGCTCTTCTCCAACATCGATCCTGTCTACGAGTTCCACAGAGGCTTCCTCCACGAGGTGGAACAGAGGCTGGCACTCTGGTAATGATGCTGTACCCTAGAGGGCTCCCACCCGCATACAATAGCGGCCCTTGCCCGGGACCCCCAGGTAGCAGCCCGAGTCACGGCCTGCGGATGGCCTCCCAGCCTTGCCGTATCACCCCTTTGAGGAGTTTCCAGCTTCAGAAGAAGCATCATCCCATTCCAGTGTATATAGAACAGAGATACAGTGATCTATTTTATGTTTTATATGTTTAAATTTCAACTATTTGTTTGTTTCTTTACTGGTGCCGGTTGAATGAAAGGGTCTGGGAACTGTCCCTGAACTTTTTGGTCACTCACTTGAGCCAGTGCTCCACTTCAGGCACACTCTATGGATCTCAGCCTCTTGAGCAGCTAGGATTATAGGCCTGAGCCACCAGCACCCATTTTCCTTCCAGTATATTTTAAAATCATATAGGGAAGGTTAGGAATATAACAGTAAACTTTGTTGGTCATGTTCTAGAAAAGAAAATGAAAGGATAGAGTTAAAAGAAGGTAAAATCGGCTAGGTGTGGTGGTGCACATAGATAATCCCAGCTACTGGAGCGATCACAGCTTAAATTTAGCATGATCCCCATCTCAATCAATAAGCTGGGCACAGTGGCACACTCTTGTCATTCTAGCTACATGGGGGACCTAGAGAGGCGGAGCATAATCCAAGACTGATCCCCAGCAAAAACATTAGATCCTACCTGAAAAATAGAACAAACAAGCTAGAGGTGTGGCTCAAGAGCTAGAGCACATGCCTGTCAATGCATGAGACCCTGCATTCAGACTTCACCGCTGCCACACACAGAAACAAGAAAGCATGCTGTTTTTTAATGTGGTTACTATCTTCTTAAGAACATTGACAAGCCAGGCGCCGGTGGCTCACGCCTATAATTCTAGCTACTCAGGAGGCTGAGATCTGAGAATCGCAGTTCAAAGCCAGCCCAGGCAGGAAAGACGGTGAGACTCCTATCTCGAATAAACCACTAGAAAACCGGAAGTGGTGCTGTAGCTCAAGTGGTAGAGCGCTCATCTTGAGCTGAAGAGCTGAGGGACAGCGCCCAGGCCCAGAGTTCAAGCCCCATGACCGACAAAAAAAAAAAAAAAAAGAACATTGACAGACACATAATAATTGTTGGTAACACAGAAGCCCTTCTACTCATATAACTGTGACCCCCCAGATACAGGAGCTTCTGCCTGTAATTCCAGCAGTTAGGAAGCAGAAGCATAGGTGGAACCCACAGGCAGCTTAGACTATAGAGCAAGACATTGTTTCAAGACCAGATGACTGCAAGCAGCAGCTCCCGTCAAATCCTGATGCTTTCATGGTTTTTTTGTTTTGTTTTGTTTTGTTTTGTTTTTGTCAGTCATAGGGCTTGAACTTGGGGCCTGAGCACTGTCCCTGAGCAATTTTGCTCAAGACTAGCACTCTACCACTTTGAATCCCAGCTCCACTTACAGTTTTCTGATGGTTTAATTGGAGATGAGAGTCTCCTGGGCTTTCTTTCCTGCCCAGGATGGCTTTGAACTAGGATTACAGGCAGGAGCCACCAGTGCCCAGCTCATGGTTTATTTTTTAAATTTTTATTTTTTGGTGACAGTTACATACATCTCTTTTGGAACAGTGCCATCCTTTCCCTTACTCTCCCAGTTTTTCCCTCCCATCCTCTCCCACGCGTTGTATAGTTCGTTTTGAGCAGAGTATCTAGTAGTATCACATGGGTTTCTAACCTCGTTGTTCCTCCACTCCAGGGAAGGGCCCATCAGTGCCCAGGTGAAAGGCGATCACCAGCGAATTGGGGACATCCTGCTCAGAAACATGCGTCAGTTAAAGGTAGGACACATCTGTGTGGCGACGTGGGGCTTCGCACAGAAGTTACACACAAAAACACACTGCCCTCACACTGTGCCGCTGTTCTTAACAGGCATTTCCCTAAGTGTGAGCAGAAAGCACTGCATAGAATAAGCCCCCAGGACAGAGCTTCTTTCAAAATGGCGTTCTCATATCAGATGTTCCTCAAAACAGATTTCCCCTCATAGTTCATTTTCCTAGAGCAGCATTCCCCTCAGTATAGCATTTCCCTTAAGATAGCATCTCAGAAAAATAATTCTCCTCAAAACAGAATTTCCTAAAATAGATTTCTTCTTAGACTAGAACTCCCCAGAGCAGATCCCCCAAGCTGCTTCCTCCTCAAAAACAGCAAGATTCCCCAATACAGAATTCCCTCCAGAACAAGGGTCCCGGGAGTAGAATTCCCCTCCCAACAGTGTTTTCTTCTCAGAGCGCCCAGCACTGTCACTTCCAGGAGATGTTGTCCTCAGAGCGGATTTCCCCTCAGAGTGCCCTTCCTCTCACCGTGCCCCACAGGGCTTCTCACAGAGCTGGGTCGCCTCACACAGTGTTCTCAGAACTCTTCTACATTTCTCCTCTGAATGGGTCAGCCCTCCGCACTGCATTTCCCCAGGGAAAGCACTCCATTGAGGAGTATTGCCTTCCCTCAGAACGTGTGTCCAGGCAGGCAGCCTTCCCCTTAGATACCTTTTCCCAGAACACCAGTCCCCTCAGAACAGGACTCCTCAAACAGTGCCCTGCCCCATAAACGTCTTCTTCTAAAAAGAGTATTCATCACAAGATGATGGCTGTTCACTCAGCACAAGGTTCTTCTCAGAACAAAATCTCCTTAAAATAGTATTCCCAAGCCAGGGGCCAGTACCTCATACCTGTCATCTAGGAGGCTGAGATCTGAGGATCGCAGTTTAAAGCTAGCCTGAACAGGAAAGTCTGTGAGACTCTTATCTCCAATTAACCACCAAAATGTCAGAAGTGGGACTGTGGCTTAAGCGGTAGAGCAATAGCGATGAGCAAAAAAAGCTCTAGGACTGAGTTCAAGCCCCAGAACCAGCACACATGCACATACACGCGTGTGCGTGTGCACACACATTCACACAGAGTATGCCCCACACAGGGTTTCTTGATACAGTATTTCACTCAAAACAAGGTCCTGCCACTACAGTACTGCTGAGAAAAGGTTTCCATCAGCATTGTTCCTCAGAACGGGCTTCATCTCAGAGTATCTTTCCCCAGAACAGCATTCCCCTCATAACAGCGTCTCTTAGCGCATGGTTCGGTCCCCCGAGCATGTGGTTCCTCGAACACCTGGTGTTCCCCCCAGCGCCCAGTTTCCTCAAGCAGAGTGCCCCAGCATGTGGCGCCCCTGAGCATGCAGTTCCCCTCAGAACCAGGACCCCCTAGAACAGGTGGCTCACAGCCAGTTGTGCTCCGTATGACTGACAGATCCTGAAGAGCACTATTTTTTTTCCATGACGTTCCTCTCAAAACTCAGGTCTCCTAGATCCAGGTTCTCCCAAACATGATTCCTCATGACAGCCTCACACTGGGCCTCCCCAGAAGTGGGCTTCCTAGACACTGTCCTGTCCGTCCTTCCAGATAGAAAGTTTCAGACCCTGGTTCCCCTCAGGATGCAGTGTTCCAGAACGGAGTTTACAGAACAGGGATCCCCTCACTGTGTTGCCAGAGAATAGCATTTCCTGGAAACAGGCTTCTCCCCGTAGCTAGGGTGGAAGGGTGTGGGCTCGTAGCTCAGGATTTCTTCTTGAGTGTTTAGAGGTCTATGAAGAGAATATTCTAAGAATATGTCAGTGCCATGATGGAGCCACCACAGTTCACACCCGCAGTACCGTCCCACCACGGTTCACACCCGCAGTACCGTCCCACCACAGTTCACACCCGCAGTACCGTCCCACCACGGTTCACACCCGCAGTACCGTCCCCACCACGGTTCACACCCTCAGTACCGTCCCACCACGGTTCACACCCGCAGTACCGTCCCACCACGGTTCACACCCGCAGTACCGTCCCACCACGGTTCACACCCGCAGTACCGTCCCCACCACGGTTCACACCCGCAGTACCGTCCCACCACGGTTCACACCCGCAGTACCGTCCCCACCACGGTTCACACCCGCAGTACCGTCCCCACCACGGTTCACACCCGCAGTACCGTCCCCACCACGGTTCACACCCGCAGTACCGTCCCCACCACGGTTCACACCCGCAGTACCGGCCCCACCACGGTTCACACACGCAGTACCGGCCCCACCACGGTTCACACCCGCAGTACCGTCCCCACCACGGTTCACACCCGCAGTACCGGCCCCACCACGGTTCACACCCGCAGTACTGTCCCCACACCCGCAGTACCGTCCCACCACGGTTCACACCCGCAGTACCGGCCCCACCACGGTTCACACCCGCAGTACCGGCCCCACCACGGTTCACACCCGCAGTACCGTCCCCACCACGGTTCACACCCGCAGTACCGTCCCCACCACGGTTCACACCCGCAGTACCGTCCCCACCACGGTTCACACCCGCAGTACCGTCCCACCACGGTTCACACCCGCAGTACCGTCCCCACCACGGTTCACACCCGCAGTACCGTCCCCACCACGGTTCACACCCGCAGTACCGTCCCCACCACGGTTCACACCCGCAGTACCGTCCCACCACGGTTCACACCCGCAGTACCGTCCCCACCACGGTTCACACCCGCAGTACCGTCCCCACCACGGTTCACACCCGCAGTACCGTCCCCACCACGGTTCACACCCGCAGTACCGGCCCCACCACGGTTCACACCCGCAGTACCGGCCCCACCACGGTTCACACCCGCAGTACCGGCCCCACCACGGTTCACACCCGCAGTACCGGCCCCACCACGGTTCACACCCGCAGTACCGGCCCCACCACGGTTCACACCCGCAGTACTGTCCCCACACCCGCAGTACCGTCCCACCACGGTTCACACCCGCAGTACCGTCCCACCACGGTTCACACCCGCAGTACCGTCCCACCACGGTTCACACCCGCAGTACCGGCCCCACCACGGTTCACACCCGCAGTACCGTCCCACCACGGTTCACACCTGCAGTACTGGCCCCACCACGGTTCACACCCGCAGTCCTGTCCCCACCACGGTTCACACCCGTAGTACGGGCCCCACACCCGCAGTACTGGCCCCACACCCGCAGTACTGGCCCCACACCCGCAGTACTGGCCCCACACCCACACTGGTATTTACCACACAGACCTGGAGCCAGCCTCTCCGGCCCAGGCTGCCCAGAAGTCCACCCTGTGGCAGCCTGGGGCATGGCGGCCACTTGTAGCCCAGGGCACTGCTGAGCCCCATGCTGCATCCCAGCTTCACACGGCCACGCACCGCACCCCCAACTCCTGAGGGCCCAGTCAGCTCTGTGGGTCTCGATGGTGCTGACCGGAAGAGCTTCCGGCCGTCCCTGCCTCCCTCTGCCTGCACTTGTGTTTCAGAAGCTGAGTCATTACAAGGCTCAACTTACACAAAAGCATTGTCCTAATTTAAAGTAGAAATAGACACCAGTCTGTTTAATCCACATAGATTATGTTTAATGTTTGTGGAAATAAATTTAGTCTCGAAACCTAGAATGTAGGGACTAGTGTAGTCCAATATGTCTCTGAGGAGGGTAGTCAGAATCCATACGTGTGTGCGCTTTGCCGCATCATCATCATGGTGACTCCCTCTCCAGTGAGGTGCTGTGGCCACTTTTCTCTCTCAGGTACACTTAGGATTGAGCAGAGCTTGAAGGGGGCTTGTTTAATCCCTGCCCAGTGCATGCTTACTGAGTCCCATGAGGCAAGCTATGCTCCTTCTAACCTGTCTTCATTTACAAGAAGCAAGGAGGCCCTGTGGCCGGAGTCAGAGTGAAGTCCACCATATGCAGATCCCACGGAGGTTGCTTGGCCCTGTTCGACCTCTCGGGATTCGGCACTCTGGGAACTGCACTGGCCGCAGGCCACTTCCCATTGAACCCACCCGGTCTCTTCACCAAAATGCCTTCCCCTGCTTCCACAGGAGTTCACCAGTTACTTCCAAAGACATGATGAAGTCCTGATGGAACTGGAAAAGGCTTCCAAGGGCTGCCGGAAGTTGGAGGCCGTGTATAGAGAGTTTGAGCTCCAGAAGGTCTGCTACCTGCCCCTCAACACATTCCTGCTGAAGCCAGTTCAGCGGCTGGTGCACTACCGCCTGCTGCTCAGCCGGCTGTGTGCTCACCACCCACCCGGACACCCGGACCACGCCAACTGCCGCGGTGCGTGTGACCACGCCCCGTGCCTTCTGTGCCCTCTGCCTGAGGGGCGGGAGGCTGTGGAGCTAGAGCGCTGGACCTGGGGGCTGGGCCTCCGCAGCTGGGAAGTGGCAGGCCAGGGCCCCAGGGCAGAACCAGCTTCTGCCCTTCCCTCCCCTCATCCGGTGGGGAGGACCAGGTCTGCTCCACCAAGTGCCTGTCCTGCCCCCCACCCTTGGGCAAGGACCTTCTTGGCCCCAAATGCCAACAGCATGGGGGACTGATTGCCCTGCACAGTTCCAGAGCTAGGCAAGGGCCAGGGTTGCCTGCTGCTGCCACCCCCCACACCGATGCATGGGGTGGGTGCATCTCCCAGAGGGACCCAAGTCCTGGGAGGGGTGCATCTGCCAGAGGGACCCAAGTCCTGGGGGGGTGCATCTGCCAGAGGGACCCGAGTCCTGGGGGGGTGCATCTCCCAGAGGGACCCGAGTCCTGGGGGGATGCATCTCCCAGAGGGACCCGAGTCCTGGGGGGATGCATCTCCCAGAGGGACCCGAGTCCTGGGGGGGTACATCCCCCAGAGGGACCCAAGTCCTGGGGAGGTACATCTCCCAGAGGGGCCTGAGTCCTGGGGGGGGGGGTGCATCTCCCAGAGGGACCCAAGTCCTGGGGGGTACATCTCCCAGAGGGACCCGAGTCCTGGGGGGGGTGCATCTCCCAGAGGGACCCGAGTCCTGGGGGGATGCATCTCCCAGAGGGACCCGAGTCCTGGGGGGTACATCTCCCAGAGGGACCCGAGTCCTGGGGGGATGCATCTCCCAGAGGGACCCGAGTCCTGGGGGGATGCATCTCCCAGAGGGACCCGAGTCCTGGGGGGATGCATCTCCCAGAGGGACCCGAGTCCTGGGGGGTACATCCCCCAGAGGGACCCAAGTCCTGGGGAGGTACATCTCCCAGAGGGACCTGAGTCCTGGGGGGGGGGTGCATCTCCCAGAGGGACCCAAGTCCTGGGGGGTACATCTCCCAGAGGGACCCGAGTCCTGGGGGGGTACATCTCCCAGAGGGACCCGAGTCCTGGGGGGATGCATCTCCCAGAGGGACCCGAGTCCTGGGGGGGTGCATCTGCCAGAGGGACCCGAGTCCTGGGGGGGTGCATCTCCCAGAGGGACCCGAGTCCTGGGGGGATGCATCTCCCAGAGGGACCCGAGTCCTGGGGGGATGCATCTCCCAGAGGGACCCGAGTCCTGGGGGGGTACATCCCCCAGAGGGACCCAAGTCCTGGGGAGGTACATCTCCCAGAGGGACCTGAGTCCTGGGGGGGGGGTGCATCTCCCAGAGGGACCCAAGTCCTGGGGGGTACATCTCCCAGAGGGACCCGAGTCCTGGGGGGGTACATCTCCCAGAGGGACCCGAGTCCTGGGAGGATGCATCTCCCAGAGGGACCTGAGTCCTGGGGGGGGGGGGGGAGGTACATCTCCCAGAGGGACCTGAATCCTGGGAGGGTGCATCTCCCAGAGGGACCCAAGTCCTGGGGGGGGTGCATCTCCCAGAGGGACCTGAGTCCTGGGGGGGGTGCACCTCCCAGAGGGACACGAGTTCTGGGGGTGTCAGTCCAGAAGCCCTGGGCAGGGATCTGTTGGAAGTGTCTGAAACACAAGTGGACTTTCTCTGTTCAGAGTTGTGTTAGAGAAAGTAGTTGAGCCTTTTTAACCTGCAAGTTGGACTTTCAGTTGTAGCATGACGTTAGTACAGAAAACTGCTGCCTGCGAGCAAATACCACTTTCATAAACGACCTAGGCAGGCAGTCCCGTGGGCAGTCCCCATGGGCAGCCCCCATGGGCAGCCCCCGTGGCAGTCCCATGGGTAGCCCCTGTGGGCAGTTCCGTGGGTAGCCCCCATGGGTAGCCCCCGTGGGCAGTCCCCGTGGCAGTCCAGTGGGCAGTCCCGTGGGTAGCCCCCGTGGGCAGTCCCATGGGTAGCCCCCGTGGGCAGTCCCCGTGGGCAGCCCCCATGGCAGTCCCGTGGGTAGCCCCCGTGGGAAGTCCCATAGCAGTCCCGTGGGCAGTCCCATGGCAGTCCCCGTGGCAGTCCCCATGGCAGTCCCATGGCAGTCCCCGTGGCAGTCCCCGTGGCAGTCCCCATGGCAGTCCCCGTGGGCAGCCCCCATGGCAGTCCCGTGGGCAGTCCCATGGCAGTCCCGTGGGCAGTCCCCGTGGCAGTCCCATGGCAGTCCCCGTGGCAGTCCCCGTGGCAGTCCCCATGGCAGTCCCGTGGGCAGTCCCGTGGGCAGTCCCCATGGCAGTCCCATGGCAGTCCCTGTGGCAGTCCCCATGGCAGTCCCGTGGGCAGTCCCATGGCAGTCCCCGTGGCAGTCCCATGGCAGTCCCGTGGGCAGTCCCCATGGCAGTCCCCGTGGCAGTCCCCATGGCAGTCCCGTGGGCAGTCCCGTGGGCAGTCCCATGGTCAGCCCTGTGGACAGTCCCGTGGGCAGTCCCCGTGGCAGTCGCGTGGATAGTCCCGTGGACAGCCCTGTGGGCAGTCCCGTGGGCAGTCCCTGTGGCAGTCCTGTGGATAGTCCCGTGGGCAGTCCTGTGGGCAGTCCCGTGGGCAGTCCCCGTGGGTAGCCCCGTGGCAGTCCCTGTGGCAGTCCCATGGGCAGTCCCGTGGACAGCCCCGTGGACAGTCCCGTGGGCAGTCCCGTGGGCAGTCCCCATGGGCAGTCCCGTGGGTAGTCCCTGTGGCAGTCCCGTGGGTAGCGCCGTGGCAGTCCCCGTGGGCAGTCCCCGTGGACAGTCCTGTGGGTAGCGCCGTGGCAGTCCCGTGGGCAGTCCCATGGCAATCCCATGGCAGTCCCGTGGGCAGTCCCGTGGCAGTCCCGTGGCAGTCCCGTGGGCAGTCCCATGGCAATCCCATGGCAGTCCCGTGGGCAGTCCCGTGGCAATCCCGTGGCAGTCCCCTGGGCAGTCCCGTGGCAGTCCTGTGGGCAGTCCCATGGCAGTCCTGTGGGCAGAAGGCAGGTGTGGATGGGGGATGAGTAGGCAGGGCGGAGGCGGGATGGGGCAGGGGTAGGGGCAGGACGTGGCGGAGGTGGGATGGGGCAAGGGTCGGGGCAAGGACCAGACAGGGCAGAGCAGGATTGGGCGGGTCAGGGGCAGGGGTGGGGCAGGGGCAAGGGCAGGGGCAGGGGCAGGGGCGGGGCAGGGGCAGGGCAGGGGCAGGGGCAGGGCAGAGGTGAGGCGGAGGGGGGCAGCCACGCAGCTGCCCTGCCAGGCTGCCGCCCTCGGCATCTGACTTTTGTGTTTTGTCATGGTGATCTATTTCCTGACTCTACAGCTCTGACCTTTGCTCAAATTTAAGATGAGTATTTGCTCCTCTGTTCTAGAGAAAATTGCACTAAAAGGTGCAAAGCATTTATCCTTTAAGGAGCAAATACTGCTCATCATGTACAGAGCCTGAGCTTCCCCCACCAGACTGTGCTTCCACAGCCTGGGTTGAGCAAAGCTAACGCTGCTGGGCCAAAGCTTTGAGAGATTTCCGGAGGCTGCAAGCCTGGTCCTGCAGGAGTCTGAGTAGAATGTTGCGATTAAAACCACCCTTTATGCTAGCCTCGAGCAAAAGAAGCTCAAGGACAGTGCCCAGGCCCTCGCCAGGACCAACCTCCCTCCCCACCCCCCAAGAAAAAGCACCCTTTAAAATCTCAGCCGGGTGCTGGTGGCTCATGCCTGTAATTCTAGCTACTCAGGAGGATGAGATCTGAGAATCCCGGTTCAAAGCCAACCCGGGCAGGAAACTCTGTGAGACTCTTTTTTTTTGTAGGTCGTGGGGCTTGAACTCTGGGCCTGGGCGCTGTCCCTCAGCTCTTCAGCTCAAGGCGAGCGCTCTACCACTTGAGCTACAGCGCCACTTCCGGTTTTCTGGTGGTTTATTGGAGATAGGAGTCTCACGGTCTCTCCTGCCCAGGCTGGCTTTGAACCGCGATCCTCAGATCTCAGCCTCCTGAGTAGCTAGGATTACAGGCGTGAGCCACCAGCGCCCGGCTTCTGTGAGACTCTTATCTCCAATAAACCACTAGAAAACTGGAGTGGTTGAGCTGTGGCTCAAGCGGTAGAGCGCTGGCCTTGAGCTGAAGAGTGCGGGGACAGCGCCCAAGCCCAGAGCTCAAGCCCCAGGACCGACAAAAAAACAAAACAAAACAATAAAATCTCTGCACAAGGCCGGGTGGAGGTCTGAGTGCTTTTCCACACAGACGCCCTGAAGGCCGTCACCGAGGTGGCCTCTGCGCTCCAGCACAGCCTGGCCCGCATGGAGCACCTGCAGAAGCTGGCGGAGCTGCAGCGGGGCCTGGCGGGCATAGACAACCTCGTTGCTCCTGGCAGGGTGAGTGGCCGCGCGGCGGGGAGAGGCTTCAGGCTGGCGACTTCATTGCTTTTCTTGACTTTTATTCAAGAGCATAAAAATCTCCACATACCACCTGCTTACTCCTGGGGCTTAAACCCAGCTCATGCTTTCCAGGCTGGTACTTTACCAAACTTGTCACACCTCCAAACCCTACTTTTTTTTTGGTTATTCTGGAAATAAGGTCTAGCAAACTTTTGTGTCCAGCTGGTTTTGAGGTAAAGTTCCCAGATCTCAGCCTCCTGGGTAACTAGGGTCACAAGTCATGGCAATGACAAAGATGGCTGGATCAGGTCACACCGCGCGGCTGGCCGGGCCTCTCCCAGCCCCTGCGGCCACTGACCTACGTTGTCTCTGCAGAGTTGCCTGTCCTGGGCATTTCACTGAAATGGGGTTGCAGTGCAGCATCTCCTGTATGGCAGCTTTGTTCACACACGCAGCACGCTGGAGTCAGCCAGTCGGAGGCGGCCCAAGCACAGCCTCACTTCTCTGTGGCTTCTTTATGCACACGTCCATCGTGGCATACTAGGTGTTTAACCATTCATCCACAATGAACACCTTGTGGAAGTGTAAACACTCCTGTGTGAGTCTTGTATTCCATGTCTTGTGTATAGACAGAAGAATGGGCTGTTGGTCACTCGGGAGGTCTGTGTGGGCTGGTTCCCCTCTGCACATCCCGAGTTGTTAGCTGTGGCTGCCCTCGTGGTGGGAATGAGGCTTCTTATCCTGGTGATATGTCCTCCTAATGGCTCAGGATGTCAAATATTTTTTCATATGATTATCAGCCTTTTTTTTTTTTTTTGTCGGTTGTAGGCCTGAACTCTGGGCCTGGGCGCTGTCCCTGACTTCTTCAGCTCAAAGCTAGTGCTCTACCACTTGAGCCACAATGCCACTTCCAGCTTTTTCTGCTTATGTGGTGCTGAGGAATCGAATCAGGGTCTCATGCATGCAAGGCAAGTGCTCTAACACTGAGCCACCTTCCCAGCCCATCAACCATTTGTATGCCTTCTTTGGAAACAAAATGTCTTCGTGCTGGTGGCTCATGCCTGTAATCCTAGCTATTCAGGAGGATGAGATCTGCCAGCCTGGACAGGAAAGTCCATGAGACTCTTATCTCCAATAAACCACTCACAAATCTGGAAGTGAGGCTATGGCTCAAGCACTAGCCTTGAGCTGAAGAGCTGAGGGGCAGCGCCCAGGCCCAGAGTTCAAACCCCACGACTGACCCAAAAAAAAAAAAAAAGTCTACTTAGATGCTTTACTTGCCTTTTATTTTATTTAGAATAATGAAGAACCCTTAAAATTCAACAGTAATTAAAAAAAAAACACCTTAACAGTTAAAATATAACCTGTTGAGTTTTAAGAGTTTTTTGGTTTTTTTTTTTTATTTGTTTTTGCCAATTCTGGGGCTTGAACTCAGGACCTGGGCGCTGTCCCTGAGCTGTTTTTTTGCTCAAGGTTAGCACTCTACTACTTGAGCCACAGCACCACTTCTGACTTTTTCTGTTTAGGTGGTGCTGAGGAATCAACCCAGGGCCTCATGTATGTGAGGCAAGCACTCTACCACTGAGCCACCTTCCCAGCCACCTTAAGAGTTCTTTACCTATCTTGAATATTAGAACCTTTCCAGAAAATGGCCAGGCATGTCGGTATACTTCTATAATCCCAGAAGCCAGGAGGATTGTCTTCAAGGCCAACCTGGGCCACAAACCCTGCTTCAAAACAATGAGAAGCCAGGTGCTGGTGGCTCACACCTGTAATCCTAGCTGGTCAGGAGACTGACATCTGAGGATCCCAAAGCTAGCCTGGGCCAGCTAGCCAGCCTTGAGCAAAAAAGCTCAGGGACAGTGCCCAGGGTCTGCATGTGTGCAGACCTGTGCATGCACACACATGCGTGTGCGTGCACATACACGCGCACACACACATAAGGGCTGGTACAGTGGTTCGTGCATGTAATTCCAGTAGATATTGGGAGGATCATAGTTCAATGCCACCCCAGGGAATGGGGATGGAGTGAGATCCTATTTGAAAAATCTGTATTCAAAAAGGGCCGTAGTGTGGCTTAAGTGATAGCACACCTACCTACCACGTATGAGGCCTTTAGTTCAAACCCAAAGTGAGAGAGCCAGGTGGGCTCATGCCTGTCATCCCAGCTACTCAGGAGGCTGAGGTTTAGAGGAATGAGGTTTCAAGACAGCTTAGGCAGAAAAGTCATGGAGATTCCATCTCTAATTAACCAACAAAGAGCCAAGCTGGAGGTATGGCCCAAGTGTGATCCTGCTCAAAAAAGCCAAGTGAAGCCGGACACCAGTGGCTCACACCTGTAATCCTAGCTACTCAGGAGGCTGAGATCTGAGGATCGAGGTTCAAAGCCAGCCTGGACAGGAAAGTCCGTGAAACTTTTATCTCCAGTAAACCACTAGGAAACTGGAAGTGGCATCGCGGCTCAAGTGGTAGAGCACTAACCTTGAGCTGAAGAGCTGAGGGACAGCACCCAGACCCAGAGTTCAATCCCCATGACCAACCAAAAAAAAAAAAGTGAAAAGATGACTCATAGAATGGGAGAGAATACTTGCAAATGACAGTGTTGCCCTTTTTTTTTTTTTTTTTTTTTTTTGCCCGTCCTGGGGTTTGAACTCTGGGCCTGGGCGCTGTCCCTCAGCTCTTCAGCTCAAGGCTGGTGCTCTACCATGTGAGCTACAGCGCCACTTCCAGCTTTTTCTGCTTATGTGGTGCTGAGGAATCAAACCCAGGGCCTCATGCATAGGAGGCAAGCGCTGTACCACTGAGCCACCTTCCCAGCCCCCTTTCAAGTTTTTAATTAATTAATTTTGTCAGATTGGCATTTTGCTCACTCACTTTTTTTTTTTTTCTTTTTTTTTGTCAGTTGTGGGGCTTGAACTCTGGGCCTAGGCGCTGTCCCTCAGCTCTTCAGCTCAAGGCTAGCGCTCTACCACTTGAGCCACAGCGCCACTTCCCGTTTTCTGAGTGATTTATTGGAGATAAGAGTCTCACAGGCTTTCCTGCTCCGACTGGCTTTTAATTGTGATCCTCAGATCTCAGCCTCCTGAGTAGCTAGGATGATAGGCATGAGCCACCAGCGCCTGGCTCACTTTTTTGACTATATCATTTAATTTCAATGATGTCTCAGTTATCCTTAGATGTTTTGCCATGGGTTTCATAGCTAAGAAACCATCACCTATTCCAAGGTGTGAAGCTCCATCCACTTCTTTTTTTTTTTTTTTTTGGGTCCGGTCCTGGGGCCTGAACTCTGGGCCTGGGCGCTGTCCCTCAGCTCTTCAGCTCAAGGCTAGCGCTCTACCACTTGAGCCACAGCGCCACTTCCAGCTTTTTTCTTTTTGCTTATGTGATGCTGAGGACTCGAACCCAGGGCCTCATGCATGCAAGGCAAGAGCTCTACCACTCCCAGCCCTCCATCCACTTCTTAATCGTTGTGTCAACTCTTCCACTTAGATACCTGATGGCTGTTGAGTAGCGTCCACTTCTGTTCTTTTGCCCAAAGACGTTCAGTTGCCCCAGCACTTTTATGGCCTGTCTTATCTTGTTTGATGCTTTTCTTTCTTAAGCTTTGTGCGGGTGCTGAGGCTTGAACTCGGGGCCTTGCAGCCTTGAGCTCAGGGCTTTGCAGTCTTGAGCTCGGGGCCTCGCAGTCTTGAGCTCGGGGCCTCGCAGTCTTGAGCTCGGGGCCTCGCAGTCTTGAGCTCGGGGCCTCGCAGTCTTGAGCTCGGGGCCTCGCAGTCTTGAGCTCGGGGCCTCGCAGTCTTGAGCTCGGGGCCTCGCAGTCTTGAGCTCGGGGCCTCGCAGTCTTGAGCTCGGGGCTTCGCAGTCTTGAGCTCGGGGCCTCGCAGTCTTGCGTGACTTTTCTGTGCAAGGCTGGCACACTGCCACTGGGCTCTGCCGGTGGCTGGGGTGCCGTGGCAGCCCTGGGTCAGGGAGCCCTGCCTTTGTTTCAGGAGTTCATCCGTGAGGGTTGCCTCCGCAAACTTACCAAGAAGGGACTGCAGCAGAGGATGTTCCTTCTGGTAGGCCTCCTGCGTGAGCCCCATTCCCCTTCAGGAGCTGGTTACCGGCAGCCTGTCGGCCTGGACCAGGGCAGCCTGGGAGGCGCGGGGGGGGCCACGCGGGCCCCAGGGGTGCAGGGGAAGCAGCGGGCCTGCTCCGACTGAGTTCCGGGCAGTTCCAGGCACCAGTGGAAGAGCAGGGTGCTGCGGGGAGAAACCCTCTCTGGGTCACAGAGATGTCTGGCAGCCCAGGGGCTACCAGATCCCCGTGCATGGGGCTGAGAACTGGCTAGCGGGTCCCTTTTCCCCAGTCTGGACCCAGCCGGTTTGCCTGCCCCACAAGGTGACCAGCTGACCACACCGTACTGCACTAAGTAAGGAGTTCCGTGAGGCTGGTGGCACCCTGGCCAGCCAGTTCATTTGGCTGCTACCTTAGCTGAAAAGAATTGAGCCATGAAATGAAAGTTTTTTTCTGCTAAAAACCTCCAGCGAGCTGCATATGCCTGATAAGCAGATAAGGAGCCCCCAGAGCCCACCACTGCCTAAGTGTGAAGACAGTGAAACGTTCTCCTCTGCTCTTACTATCTACCCCTCAGCTCTCAGACGTGTTGCTGTACACAAGCCAAGGTGTCACAGGGACCGGCCGCTTCCAGATCCGGGGCCTCCTCCCACTCCGAGGCATGCTGGTGAGTGCGCCATGGTCTGGCCTGGGGCACTGGTGGCCGCTTCCTCACAGAGTGACAAAGCTGAACCTCAACTGTGAGGTTCTAAAAGCACCTACTGCACTGGGCGCTGGTGGCTTCCACATGCAACCCTTGTCACTCAGGAGGAAGCCAGCCTGGCCAGGAAAGTCCACAAGACCCTTATCACCAATAAGCCTCTCAAAAAGCCGGAAGCGGGCTGGGAAGGTGGCTCAGTGGTAGAGCGCTTGCCTTGCATGCCTGAGGCCCTGGGTTCGATTCCTCAGCAACACATAAGCAAAAAGAAAAAAGCCAGAAGTGGGGCTGAGGCTCAAGTGGTAGAGTGCTAGCCTTGAGCTGAAGAGCTGAGGGACAGCGCCCAGGCCCAGAGTTCAGACCCCACGACCGGACCCAAAAAAAAAAAAAAAAAAGCAGGAAGAGCACTGTGGCTCAAGTGGTAGAGCACTCGCTTTGAGCAAAAGCAGCTCAGAAACAGTGCCTAGGCCCAGAGCTCAGGCCCTCGGACTGGCAAAACAGACTTTACGGTAGAAGGAGGTACCTGTTGAGGACCACCTGTGGCCAAAGCCTTGCAGGCTCCCCCAGGCTGCCTCATCACCAGTCACTTCCCGGCTCCCTTTGAGCTCTGCACCATCTGTGGCGTCTCTCATGCAGTACAGGTACGTGGTGATGAGTGATGAGGGACTGGACACTGGACACCTGTGGCTGGCCGTCAGACCAGCTTTTCAAGACTGTAAACCATAAGCCTTGGCCCCCACGTCCTCGGGCCTGCCCCACCGCCCCACATGGGCACTTGACTCCATGTTCACATGGTGGCACCAACCAGCCACCCACTAGCGGTCTGACTTGCGTGGAGCCTGGGAAGCGTGTCGCCTCCCGCCTGTGGACACTCAGGGAGGCCGAGTGGTTCCTGGCAGCAGTCAGTGTGTCTGTCACTAGATCTCATGAGCCTCAGCTTTGTGCATATCGTAACACCTTTGTGAGTAAAACTGCTAGCCACGCTGACAGGTTGCAAGTTCTTTTTCCAGGAGTAAATGCCTTCTTTATCTATAGTTTGGTTTTGTGGCAAACTTAGACCTATCTCTGTGGGCTGCTTGTGTTGTTCTGGAGGGGTATCTGGCACTCACTGTTAAAGGAGTCTGCTTGTGTTGTTCTGGAGGGGTGTCTGGCACTCACTGTTAAAGGAGTGGTTTGGGTGTCAGAGGTGCTCACACCTCCTCCAGGGCTTCCCTCCCAGGCCGCATCCTGGAACTGCCTAGAACATAACAGGTGTTATTAGATGGCTGTGTAACACGGGTCTGTCCTTCGCTGACTCCTCCTTCTCTCACTGTTCTCAAAGACAACTTCCACCTTCCATCTTGGCCCCCTGGTTTCCCCAGTGCTGGACAGTCCACACTGACCAGGGAGTTGCCATGGGCTGGGGGAATACATCCCCCATCCATCTTCCCTCTGAAATTGTTCTTCGCTATTTTGCAGCATGGAAGGAAACTTTGGAGTCAGGTAAACAAATGTCTTCCAAAACACCTTTGAGGTTTCAACTGAATTCACATTAAAGTTACATACAGACTCAGGAGACTTTGCTCTGTCCGGTGTGATGCAGTGCTTGGCCTCCTGGGGGCCGGGCACAGGGCCTCCATGCTCTGGCTGCCTGTGAAGGCTGCGGGCCTGCAGCCAGAGGATGGAGCGTCTCTGCCTGAGAAAGACTTAATCGTGTTAGGCCTCAGCTTCTGTACCCGAGGTACTGACAGTCAGGGACGGACGAACCAGCTTTTAGCCACGGTGCTCTCAGCACGTACACAAATGGTTTTTTCTCTTTGACTTCTAGCAGGATGATGTTTTCATCGTCTCCCTGAGTTCACCCATCCTAGGACAGCTGTTGAGTATGCTCTTAGGTTTGATTTGGTCATATTTAGTTTTGGAACTCTTACATCTGTGATGGCTTTGTGTGTGTGTGTGTCAGAGAGAGAGAGAGAGAGAGAGACTAGTAACAAAAATGCTCAATCTTTTCTCCTTTGCTTGGTTTTCAGCTAATAGTGCTGGACCCACCGGTGAGTACCCGGTGTCTGCCTGGAGCCCACGCTCCCGGCGGCCATTGTAGTGTAGGGACACGGTACGTCCCCCGTAGTCACACAGGCTTGGACAGCACAGGGCTTCCAAGCTGGCTGCACCTAGTATGGCTGGCAGTCACCTAGTGCTGTGCCTGAGGTTTTGGGACCTTCACCTCTGCTCTCACCCTAGGTAGAAGAAAGTGAAAGCGAGTGGTCTGTTCCTCACTGCTTCACCATCTACGCAGTTCAGAAAACGGTGGTGGTGGCCGCCAGGTACGCCTCAGCGCCCCCGCGCATCCCTCCCTTGTCCCCAGAGCCTCCGGGACCCAGCTCTGCAGAGGGGCTTCCTGTCCTCTCCTGGCCAGGCGGGAATGCTCACTGACCTCTAGAGTATCCACAAGTCAGCACGGTGCTGCGCCCAGGGGCCCTTGTTGCTTGACAAGCACAGGGCCAGCCAGCAGGCTGTGTGATTTATCTCCCACAGATGGTGCCTCTGGCCCTCCAGGGAAGAGCCCCTGCGGGGCGCAGTGGGCCTTCCCCCTCCCGTGCACTGTGCTCTTTAGGGACAAGGCTTGCAGTGGCCAGCCCCGCTGACTGATCACGGGTCCTCCTCCAGGAAGAGCTGACTTAAGACCGTAGGCCTGTCTGCTTCAGCACCAAGTGGTCCTGCTCTCCCAGCCTTCTTTCCCCTCCTGCTGACCCAGGCGTGGCCTCTGGGGCCCTCCCTGCTTGTGCTGGAGGGGCCATTGTAATGGGCCTTAGGACCAGGGTATAGGCCACAGCCCTGGGCCTGGGAGAGCTGTGACCCGAGCCCCCCCCTGCCCCCACCTTGCCCCACAGCACCCAACTAGAGAAGGAGAAGTGGACGCAAGACCTGAGTACAGCCATCCAAGCAGCTGAGAGCAGCAGCAACCCACCACCAGAACTGGCCAGAGGCCCCACATGCACCCACAGCCCCAGTGAGTGGCTGGGCATGCCTACGGGTCCCCGGCCCCCACGGGAGCATACCTAGGAATGGTCAGCTTGCTCAGTGCCCACACCTGGTGGCAGGGCACCTCCCCCTCACAGCTCCGGCAGAAGTACCAAGTGATGCTGGCTGTGGTGGCAGGGGGCGGGCACGGGGTGGGGTCAAATGCCAACTCCCCACAGGATCCTCCGACGAGCTCTCTCTGGAGCAGGAGTCAGAAGAGGATGCCCCAGGCACCCGAGGATCCCTGGAGGGGCCAGGCCAACACCGGACCAACACCACCATGCATGTGTGCTGGTACCGGAACACAAGTGTGTCTAGGGCGGACCGCAGTGCGGCTGTTGAGGTATGGCCCCTCTGATTCCCTGACCCTGTGCTGGCTGTGGGCAGGGCTGACCCAGCATGGTCCCAGCTGGGCTAAACCAGAGCAAAGCGCCATTAGCTCCTGCCACAGCAGAAACTGGTCTGGAAGGTCTCCTGCAGCCGCTGTGCACATCAGGTGCCCTTTGGGAAAAGCCCAGGGCTCTGCCTGCTAGCAACTGGCCCCCATTCATGGGCTGCCTGTCAGGTGGGACCAGAGGCCCTGTATATACTGAGCTTTGCCCAGAGATCCCAAGAGTACTGTCCGCTGTCAGGAGGGACCAGAGACACTGTGTGTACTGTCAGGTGGGACCAGAGACACTGTATGTACTGTCAGCTGTCAGGTGGGACAGAGGCCCCGTGTGTACTGTCAGGAGGGACAGAGGCCCCGTGTGTACTGTCAGCTGTCAGGAGGGACAGAGGCCCCGTGTGTACTGTCAGCTGTCAGGAGGGACAGAGGCCCCGTGTGTACTGTCAGGTAGGACAGAGGCCCCGTGTGTACTGTCAGCTGTCAGGTGGGACAGAGGCCCCGTGTGTACTGTCAGGAGGGACAGAGGCCCCGTGTGTACTGTCAGGAGGGACAGAGGCCCCGTGTGTACTGTCAGCTGTCAGGAGGGACAGAGGCCCCGTGTGTACTGTCAGGAGGGACAGAGGCCCCGTGTGTACTGTCAGGAGGGACAGAGGCCCCGTGTGTACTGTCAGCTGTCAGGAGGGACAGAGGCCCTGTGTGTACTGTCAGGTGTCAGGAGGGACAGAGGCCCCGTGTGTACTGTCAGGAGGGACAGAGGCCCCGTGTGTACTGTCAGGAGGGACAGAGGCCCCGTGTGTACTGTCAGCTGTCAGGAGGGACAGAGGCCCCGTGTGTACTGTCAGGAGGGACAGAGGCCCCGTGTGTACTGTCAGCTGTCAGGAGGGACAGAGGCCCCGTGTGTACTGTCAGGAGGGACAGAGGCCCCGTGTGTACTGTCAGGAGGGACAGAGGCCCCGTGTGTACTGTCAGCTGTCAGGAGGGACAGAGGCCCCGTGTGTACTGTCAGGAGGGACAGAGGCCCCGTGTGTACTGTCAGCTGTCAGGAGGGACAGAGGCCCCGTGTGTACTGTCAGCTGTCTCCTGGGACCAGGATCCTGTTCCCTCAGGTGCTCCCGCCACCTTGGCCTGTTCACAGCCCTCCACCTCCGCTCTGGACTGTACCACGCTCTCACCCTGTGTGTTGCTCAGTGGCTGCTCTCCTACCCATCTGCCTTTGCAGGACTTTGGAGGCCCTTCCCAGGCCTGCTCTCCCTATCTGCTGCAAACTTCTGTCTCCTAACTCCATAGGGCCAGGACCCAGGGAATGAGGAGCCCATGTAGTTCCTGACAGTTCTGGATGCCTAAGGATCACAGCCAGGCCCTCCTGGGGTCAGGCCGCACAGCAGAATAGGCCCCCAACAGGCATCTGCAGTGACAGTAGAATAGGCCCCCAACAGGCATCTGCAGTGGGAAGGTGAAAGTGTTTTGCCCATCATTTGAAAGAACCTTCCAGACCCCACTGTGTCATCTCTTCAGACTCCTTATTTCTTGCTTTCCAGCAAGTTTGTAATCCTAGCTCCTTAGGAAGTTGAGATCTGAGCACTGCAGTCCAAGCAGAAAAGGCCAACCAGCAAAGAGCTAGAAGTGGAGCGGAGGCTAAAATGGTAGAGTACTAGTCCTGAGTAAAAGAGCTCAAGGACGTTTAACTAAAGTAACTAAAGCATCCTACTCTAGTGTCCCTAGACTTACCATGGTACTGAAGACAGGTGGGAAACAGCTTTACCCAGAGCACTTTTGTCTTTTATTCACAGAACCAACTTTCAGGATATCTGCTGAGAAAGTTCAAGAACAGCAATGGCTGGCAGAAGCTCTGGGTAGTCTTCACCAACTTCTGCTTGTTCTTCTACAAAACCCACCAGGTGTGTGCACCAGGAGCCCGAGCACAATGCTGAGGGACAAAGTGTTCTGGAAGTCAGGCTCACCACCCCCACCCAGCCCCTTCTATGTGGAAAGCGGTCCTCCTGTGCAAGCTGCGGCCTTGCCCTCCCCAACACCCCTGTGCATGAATTTATGCCTGCTTCCAGGATGACTACCCCCTTGCCAGTCTCCCGCTGCTGGGTTACAGTGTGAGTGTCCCTAAAGAAGAGGACAGCATCCACAAAGACTACGTCTTCAAGCTTCAGTTCAAGTCCCATGTCTACTTCTTCCGAGCCGAGAGCAAGTACACATTTGAGAGGTGATTCTGCAGGGGACAGCCCAATCCGAGCAGTGCCTGCTCTGGGTTCTAGGGCAAGGACTGAGTGATGCGTACAGGTTTCCAGCTGGCCACTGCCCTGTCCTTTCTGTCCTACCATTCTGGATCATTCTTGGGAAGATAGGTGAGTGTAAGTTTACTGGTCTGATGGCCTGACTGCTTTTGCAGGTGGATGGAGGTGATTGAGAGGGCCAGCAGCTCACCGGGAAGGCCCCCAAGCTCCACGCAAGACTGCCTGTGTCCCTCCCCAGGACTGCAGGGGACAGTCAGAGAAAAGGAGTGATGCCCCTGGCCAGGACGGGGGCTACCAGGAGGGCCGAGGGCATGAAGTGACCCGGCTTCAGACACTCAAGGCATGGGTCCACATCGCTTCAGACAAGCCCTGAAGCCCGTACCCAGGCTGTGTGGTGAGTCCCACTGCCCTGCGGCTTCTGAGGGAATTCCTGCCCAGAGCCTCGTAGCCTGGCCTACAGAAAGATGAGAGTCCAGCAACGGCTACTCTGGACCCCACCAGCATAACGAGAGGTCAAGACTCACGTTCCCTGTGACCTAGAAGGGCAAGGTCTCCACCCTGTCAGCCCCAGTGCTCCTAGCCGGAAGTGTGCGCTTACAACTGCACTTATGTAAGTTACAGTAAACCACCTCAGCTGGGGGCTGTGGCCACACCTGGAATCCTAGCTACTCTGGAGGCCGAGATCTCAGGATCTCTGTTCAGAGCCAGCCTGGGATGGGAAAGTCTATGAGACTCTTATCTCCAATTAATCACCAGAAAACCAGAAGTGGTGCTGTGGCTCAATGCAGTAGAGTGCTAGCTTTGAGCAAGAGCTCAGGGACAGTGCCCACGCACCAAGTTCAAGCCCCACAGCCAACAAAATAAACACCTCCCCATCTGCGTCCTCTTCTGCCATTTTGTCCTCCAGCAGGCCTCAGGGAACATGGAGCATGGAAAGCAGGCTGCAGGGCTGGGGGTCCCAGGGAAGGCCACCTGGCCAGGCCCACACAAGCACATCCAATCCAGGTCTTTATTTAAAATGGTGGGACCTTCAGTGCTCTATGAAAACTCACACTTTACCCCTCAGAACACTTGAGAATAAGTTCAAATTGCTTAAAAAAACAAACATTCTGGATGACTTGAGTACTCATGAGAAGAGGAAGCCTCTGACCCCATACCAGGAGGAACATCCAGGACCAGGCCAGGCCACCATGGACCCTTAGGAGAAGGCCCCCAGGGTTGGGGGACGGGCCCCTGGAGAGCTGCTCTGCTCCTGGATCTGGCAGCCAGGCAGGCCAGGTCCAGAGGGCGTGGCCTGCACTGGAGAGAAGGCTGTGAGGGCCAGGGCCCCTGAGTGGCTACCTTGTTCTCCGTGGGCTCTCTGCCAGAGGTGCTGCTTCAGCCAAGCCAGGAGAGTAGACATGGGCGGGCGGCTGCCGCGGGGGGCGGCACACTACATGGGGAACAGGAAGGAGACCTGCGTGAGGTCTACAGGCCGGCCGGGCTGGTCTCTGCAGTCAGCGAAAGGGAGCGCCCAGGTCAGCAGGGTCCTTTCCGAGCTCCAAACAGAAACCTTTCTTTCTCCTCCTCGCCACAAAGAGCAGCTCGTTCAGCAGGCTGATGCTCAGCGAGCTGACGTCAGGTGGTTCCTGCTGTGTGAGAACCTGCAGAACAGAGCTTGTCAGAGTGTGGCCTGGACGTGTGCCTCGGCAGCCATCATGGCCGCAGGCCTCCCTCCACTCCACCCGTGTCCCCAGGGGAGGGGTCTCCCTGGGTCTCAGGCGCAGCACTGCACTAGCCTGGACGTGGGAACCCGAGCCCTTGGGGCTGCTGGAACGGCTCCATGCTGCCCCCACGTCCCTTCACTGTGGACTGGAGGCGACCTCAGGTTAGCACGGCCGGCTTGCCAACCCCTCAAGCTGTTTACATGAGCACAGGTCAAGGCTCTGTTGCTAGGGCCAAACCTGCTGCACACAGCTCAAAACCAGGGGCAGAGGCCCAAAGGCCCAAATGGGAGAAGACGTTTCTGCCCTGCAGAGCAGCCGTGGCAGGAAGGCACTGCCCAGCCCTTGCGCCCCGACGCTCACCTCTGCACGCGCTCCACCAGGTGCACCATCAGCTGGTCTGAGATGCCGGGGCAGGACTCCTCTGCCAGGCTGAAGGCGTTCTCCAGCTCCTCCAGGGCACCCACACTCCCACCACTCTGCTTGTGCTTTTCTTTGAGCTGCAGAGAGAAACTCTATCTGAACGGGCCTTCCCTGAGACTCCAGTCCAGGAAGCCGGCGGGGCAGATGGGTGGTGGCAATGCACAGGCCGCATGCCCCACCCTGATGGTGGGCACCTGCGTGGCCCTTCCATCTCAAGGTGACCCGCCTCTGCTCCCTTCCTCTGCTCCTCATCTTAGTCTCCTCACAATGGAGGATCAGGTCACCAGCCGGGCGAGGATCTGACGATTCCGAGTGCACTGCAGATCTCATGGGAGGCCTGGGCTCCGGGGGCTATGACCCTGTCCCTAGGCAGTTGCCAGGGACCCGTGCCCACGGCCCCGCCGGGCTCTGTGCCATTCTGGGGGAGGCTCTGCCACCTCCATACTGCCGACACTCCACACCCCCAGGGTGGAGGTGGGCATGGCGGGGGGAGGGGGGAATGCGGGAGAAGGGGGGGTTTCACCTGGCGGCCTCCTATTTTGGGAGATGGCTCTAACTTCCACCAGCACAAGATGTGGATACAAGGTCCTATGACCCCCTGAACTGACCCTCTTCCTTCCCCAGAGAGTCATGCGGTATGCTTATACTTAGAGGAAGAAAATTCACAGGTCTTAATTCCAATTCAAAAGCCACCTGGAAGCTGAGAACTGCAGCAGGTCTAGAAACACAAAAGGGTCCCGTGGAGAGCAAAGCCACCCCCACGTGACCTGGCAGAGCCCCACCCTCACCTCTCCGAAGACAGGCCGGACAAGCGTGGCCAGGCACTGGGACCTGGGCTGTCTCTTGACAGGCTCGGTGGGCTGTAAGATGGAAATGGAGGCACCAGGTGAGACTGGGACTAGGGCTTCTTCCCACTCCCTTCTGGCCTCCTTGAGCAGATGGTCAGGATGCTGCCAAGGGACGGGTTTCTGAAGTAAAATGCAGCCTGAGTGGCTGGAATCAAGGGCCTGCACCCACCCCAGGATGTTCTCAACAGCTGGGCCCAGCCGGGACGAACCTTCTGGGAGCCATGCAGGGCTGTCCCCTTGTGGAGCTTGCCGTGCGGACTGGGCCGGATGGTCGGGGGAAACGTCCAGATGGGGCCCTGCTCTCCGTCCTCAGCCTCACCGTCGCTGAAGAGGGTGATGAATTAGGAGCCGGTGGGGATGCTGGGGTGGGGGAGGCGGGGTGGCTGATTTGTCTGGGAGGCAGCCTCACAAGCCAGGAGGCTCTGAACTTGATGGGGACCCGCCCGGGCTGCAGTGTCCAGTGACAGCACTGCAGGTCCTGTCCCTGCCACCCACATCCAAGTACCCAGGAGCAGGGGGGGCGGGATTCAGAGGAGAGGAGACCCCTGAGAACAAGCAGGCACCCTACATGTCGGAGTCCTCGGAGCTGGACTCCTCTCCATGGCCCTCAGACTTCCAGCGCTTGTAGCGGTCGATGAGCTCGGTGAGGAAGGAGGTCTTCTTGGTGTAGCGTGTGATGAATTTGTGCTTCAAGAGTTCCTTGGCGGTGGGCCGCTGCCAGGGCAGGAAACAGAATAGTCACAGAATAGTCACCAGGTGCCAGACACAGCAGCGTGGCCTGCAGGAGTGGCCCAGAGAGGCTGGGTGGGAACGTGGAGTCAGGGAGGGGGCGCAGGAGGTGACCGGGTGGCTGCACCTCTTGACCTCGTCCCCTCCTAGCCGGCGGCCACCACCCACAAGCTCCCAGACCCAGCCTGCTTCAGTTGTGCTGGGGGGGGGGGGGGTGGCTTACAAATCGGGGGTCCTTGTTGAGACAGGCCTCCACAAACTCCTTGAAGGCTCTGCTGTGGTGGCCCTCCAGGGTGGGGGGGCTGTTCTTGGGAATCAGGAACAGGACGCGCATAGGGTGGAGGTCAGAGTTGGGCGGCTCCCCCTTGGCCAGCTCAATGGCGGTGATGCCCAGAGACCAGATGTCAGCCTGGAGGAGGCGCCACACAGGACGCTGCCGCAGCTGCCAGAGCCGCGGACCTCCCTCCCGCCTCCCGCCCCAAGAACCTACTTTGAAGTCGTAGGCAGACTGCTTGATGACCTCAGGAGCCATCCAGAACGGGGTGCCCACAAATGTGTTTCTCTTGATCTGTGTATCTGTGAGCTGCCCGGCCACCCCGAAGTCGGCCAGCTTCACATCACCCTGCTCTGAGAGCAGCACGTTGGCAGCTGCTCAACACAGGAAGGCGGGCAGGCGTCACCCTCCGCCCGGCCTCTGGGGGCCTGCCCGAGGCTGTGTGTGCCCACCGCAGCTCCCGGGCCCCCTGGGGCCTGGCAGGCAGAAGTCACAAACTAGAGGACCTCCCCAGCCCTCCTACCTGAGCTGCAGGGGCTCTCTGCATTTGGCTTTTGTGGAAATACCAACAGAATGACCTGACCATGACCTGACCCAACGGTCATTGCCCCCCTCCCCAGTCCCTCATGGGGTCAGGAGGCTGGGCGCCGCGTCCCTCACGGGGGTAGGACCCCTCAGCCAGTCCTCCCCAAGCCCTGGTGACCAAGCTAACATCTGTGATTGAAGCTGGCCTGGCCCTAAACCAGGTACGTGGCTGGTGGCTTCTGTTAACAGGTTAAGGAGTCTAGGACAGTCCTGCTAGGTAGGGTAAAGTATGCTTTGCTGGTAGAGCAATTTGCCTAGCATGTACAAACCCCTTGGGGTCTAGCCCAAGCACCACAGGGGAAGAGTTGCTATTGGGGGTATCATCTGGAAGCAGATCAGCATGGACTGCCCCATCCATGGGTAACTGCAGGACGCCCACCCCACTCCTCTAACCCCACAGCCGCTCCCTCCCACCGCCCACACCAGGGTCAGTGGGGGCCGTGCCCACCCCGCAGGACCTTTGATATCTCGGTGGATCTTGCGCTCTGAATGCAGGTAGTCCAAACCCTTCAGAATCTCCCGCAGGATGGTAGCAATGTACGTTTCCTCCAGAGGGCCTGGTTTCAGCTGGAGCAAGAGGGCAGGGCAGAGCCTCAGCAGCAGTCCACCACACCCGAGCATCCCCAGGGCCGAGCTCCACGGCTGTCAGCAGCAGAGGGGATCCTCAAAGGCTGGTGTTCTATCATCTGAGCCATGCCTCTAATCCCACTTGTTGCTGGTTATTTTAGAGATGGATTCTAGTGAACTTCCCATCCTCCAGCTCTCAGCCTCCCGAGTAGCTAGGATTATAGGTGTGAGCCACCAGTGCCCAGTCTCCTTTAAGTAATTCTGAAGTAAAATTCAGTGTGGGTGGCCCGTCAGGAGGTGGGCCTAGTGGAATGGGGGTGGCAAAGCTGTAGGATCCCAGCCACACATCAGACTCTCCCCAAGCATGTCGCCCCCCTGGGGACTCAAGCAGCAGCCAGACACCTCTCAGCACCAGTCAGCACAATGACTATGGATGTGGTGTGGGTTAGGCACTTCCTGTTGATGACTGACGGACTCAGACTAGAGGTTTCCAAGGGTCTGCGGGGAAGGGCATCCTTGGATGGGCAGGACCACCCCCCCCAGCAAGCTGTCCATGCTGCAGCCCAACTCACCAGGTCCAGCGCAGAGCCACCACCCAGGTACTCCATGATGATCCATAGCTTGGTGCTCTGAGACCAGAGAAAGCTGTCAGCGCCCCGCTGTGACGTCCACAGGCCACACAGGAAAGGGCTCAGGTGGTCACACCAGACTCCTTTCCACCACACCCCACTGCATGCGTGTGCTGGATACTGAGTGCTCAGAACAGTGAACGGTCCGTCAAAACCAAGCTGGAGACTCGGTCCACAGAACCCAGGCAAAATCATAGCCAACACAGCCACACACCAAGGGCCCTCTGTGGCAGGCTCCTGGCAGGGCCTGCCTGGGCCCTTCACAACAGCCTACCCTGTCGCCAGCACCTCCCAGAGCAGAGCCTGCTCGGCTGTGATGCTGTGGCAAGACCCTCTGCCCTCCAGAGGTGCCCCATGCACCTACAGCACCCTGCTCTCTACTCCCCTGAGGAGGAGGCGCACGGAGCCTGAGACTCTCCACCCTCCCGCGCAGACTCCCCCCCCACCCCCGGCACCTTCAGGTAGGAGCCTGAGGCCCCCTCTGCCCTCCCTGGCTTCCTTAGTTAGGTTTATTCCTAAATATATTTTGAGGCTATTGCAAATGGCATTGTTTTTCTGATTTCCCTCTCTGCCTGTACATGGTTGATGTACAGAAAGGCTGCTCTCCCCCCCCCCCCCCCCGCACCTTCAGGTAGGAGCCTGAGGCCCCCTCTGCCCTCCCTCGCAGACGCAGACCCCCCCACCCCCGGCACCTTCAGGTAGGAGCCGAAGTAGCGCGTGATGTAGGGGCTGTCACACTGGCTGAGCACCGTGATCTCCTGCTGGATGTCCTCGATCTCGTCCTCAGCCTCCTCCAGGTCGATGATCTTGATGGCCACCACCTCCTTGGTGTGGTTGTCGATGCCCTTGTACACCTCCCCAAAGGAACCCTTGCCGATGCGGTCCAGCTTGGTGAAGAGCTCCTCGGGGTCCACTCGAGCGTGCTGCGGAGGCACAGGCAGAGCGGGCAGGGCGTGGGCCGCGCTGTGGAGGAGGGCCCAAGGCGGAGCTGCCTCCTGTGGGAAGGCGGCCCACGCTCCAGAAGGGCTCCTCACACCTCTGTTTTCTTTCATTCCTTGTTCTGAAAAATCTAAACACTCCAGTCTCCAGGGAGCAGACTCCCAGAGCTTAACACCGAGAACCAGATGTGAACCGCGACTCTAGCTGCGTCTTAGGTGGTCTGGCCAGCTGTCAGTGAGACAGGAATGAGCTGGGGGAGGGGCTCCATGTGAGGGACAGAGTACCTCATTGTGCTATAAACCTAAAAATTCCCTTAAACAAAAAAAGGTATCAGTGGCTCACGCCTGTAGTCCTAGCTACTCAGGAGGCTGAGATCTGAGAATAATGGTTCAAAACCAGCCAGGGCAGAAAAATCCCAGTGAGACTCTTATCTCCAATTAACCACTCAAAAACCAGTAGTGGAGGGCTGGGAAGGCTGGGAAGGTGGCTCAGTGGTAGAGCGCGTGCCTCACATGCATGAGGCCCTGGTTTCAATTCCTCAGCACCACATAAGCAGAAAAAGCCAGAAGAGGCACTATGGCTCATAAGGTAGGAGCGCTCGCCTTGAGCTGAAGAGCTGAGGGGCAGCGCCCAGGTCCAGAGTTTAGGCCCCATGACTGGCCAAAAAATAAATAAATAAACCAGTAGTGGAGCTGTGGCCCAAAGTGGTAGAGGGCTAGCCTTGAGCAGAAGAGCTCAGAGACAGCGCCCAGGCCCATGACTAAGTCAAAACAAAACAAAAAAACTATGAAAGAAATGATGATCTCCTCATGTTGGCTCTCCTGGAAGCCACTCTGCTGTACCTCATACCAGGAGAACTGAAACCTCAATACTTTTTGGATGGTTGGTTCAACATAAGCAGCACAAAAGCATGCCCACAGACTTAGACAAAGCCTGAAAACTGCTGAGTCAACAGAGCAGAGCCCGCAGTTCACAGCCCCAGTGTGCCCCGAGCTTTAGCACAAAGGCGTTCCGCTGCCCAAACCCCCTGCTGGATTTGAGCCTGGGGTGCGCCAAGGAATCACGAGTTGATTCGGATCCCTGACTTCTGCACAGAGAAGCCAGAAGCAACGGAGCTCTGTAGCACCCCACTGGGTGTGGTCTGGGCCCTGCCCTTGCCCATCCTCCAAGAGTATGTTCTCTTCAGCTCCCACCGACCCATTCGAGCTGGCAGAGGCCCAGGCAGAGAACATGCCAGGGCACCTGAGGACACACAGGTTTACTGGGCCTAGGGAGTGGGAGCCCTAAATCTCACCAAGAGATTGTCCACCGCCTGCAATCTCACTCCTAAACAGTTTCCCCTCAGCCAGACAGATTCTTGGTGCCAATTAAAAGTGGTCAGGCAGTGGGAGGACACTTTGCCAACAAGCATGACAAACTGGGTTTACTCCCCAGAACTGCAAAAATTGCAAAATAAGAAGTGTAAGGGAATCAGTGGCTCAGGCCTGTACACTCAGGAGGCAGAGATCTAAGGATAGTGGTTCAAGACCAGCCTGGGCAGGAAAGTCCCTGAGACTTGTATCTCCAATTCACTACCAGAAAACCAGATGTGGAGCTGTGACACAAAGTGGTAGAGGGCTAACCCTGAGCCCCCTAGCCCAGGGTTCTGAGTTCAACAGAATAAAATAAAGTGGCCAGGCACAGAAAGCCCAAACCACACGTTGGGATACTGCAGGAATCCTGAGAGCTCAGGCACTCAGCTGACTCTGCGCTCGCCCCACTGCCTCAGGGCACCTCTGCCCCCCCTGGGGGCCAGGGCCTGAGCCTGCCCATGTAGCCGAGAGAGCAGGGAGGGAGGGCACCTCCTGTGAACACACGGCCAGGTCCACACTGAGAGGAACCTGGTAGTGCATCCTGGGGGGAAGGGCTGCAAATCAGCACCACTGCAACACAGAGCCATCCCACCCTTCCAGGAGACCGGCCAGCCAGGGCTGGGTACCGTCACCTCACCAGCTCTCCACAGGAGCCGGCGCTGGTGTCCACGCAGACCCTGCCTGCCAAGTAAAGAAGTAACAGATCCAGCCCAGGCTGCCCCTTCTCACTCCCCCATCAGAGCCACGCTGGAAAGAACAACCAGGAAAAAGCTCACTCCACTGAGGCTGCCAGACAGACAGCTCAGCTGTTTTCCAGTGTGGGCTGGGCGGCTCAGCTACAAGGGGCTCACGGGCCTCCCAACACCGGTCAGCCGGTGAGCAGTGTTGATGTTACCTGGGTGAGGCTCACGGGCTAAGATCTGAGCCAACACAGGCAGGAAAAAAAAGTCTGAGACTCTATCCTGAATTAACCAGCAAGAAGCCAGAAGTGGAGGTGTGGCGTAAGTCACAGAGCACCAAGCCTGAATGAAAAAGCTAAGCAAGGGAAACAGGCTCTGAGTTCAAGCTTGGAGTACCAGCACAATAATAAGCAGCATGCTGGTGGTGGCTCACACCTGTAATCCTAGCGGCTCAGGAGGCTGAGATCTGAGGATCATGGTTCAAAGCCATTGAGACTCTCATCTCCAACTGACCAGCAAGAACTTGGAAGTGGTAGAGCGCTAGCCTTGAGCTGAAGAGCTGAAAGACAGCACCCAGGCCCAGAGCTCAAGCCCCATAACTGACAAAAAATAAGAATAAAGCCGGGCACCAGTGGCTCACGCCTGTAATCCTAGCTACTCAGGAGGTTAAGATCTGAGGATCGTAGTTCAAAGCCAGCCCAGGCAGGAAAGACCGTAAGATTCCTATCTCCAATAAACCACTAGAAAACCCAAAGTGGCACTGTAGCTCAAGTGGTAGAGTGCTCACCTTGAGCTGAAGAGCTGAGGGACAGTGCCCAGACCCAGAGTTCAAGCCCATGACTGACAAAAAAATAAATAAAAATTAAAAAAAAAATGTATTCTCGGGGCTGGGAAGGTGGCTCAGTGGTAGAGTGCTTGCCTTGCATGCCTGAGGCCCTGGGTTCGATTCCTCAGCACCACATAAGCAAAAAGAAAAAAAGCTGGAAGTGGTGCTGTGGCTCAAGTGGTAGAGCGCTAGCCTTGAGCTGAAGAGCTGAGGGACAGCGCCCAGGCCCAGAGTTCAGGCCCCAGGAACAGACCCCCCCCCAAAAAAAAAAAATTGTATTCTCCAGCTGTCCATATGATCAGAGCTCAGTCCTGAACAGGCACAGTGCAAGTCCAGCCTGCTTCTGCTCCATCAGACCCAAGGCCACCTTCTCAAGCCTCTTATCATCACTCAGAACCTGGGGGGTAGCTCTGCCAAATGCAGTCCTAGGGCACCCTTCTGCTTAGCTTGCTCTCCACCTACGAGGGTTCCTCAGAAACACCTCAAGGGAGCTGGCCCGGGGACTGGGTCCCCCACACAGCCTGCACCCTACCTGGCCAACAAAGGCTAAGTAGCTCCCCCATCAGGTTCCTCTTCTGGAAGACAGAGTCTAAGGAACTCTGGAGCAGAGCTGTGAGACCAGGAAAATGTTAAAAGGTTGGAATGCCATCTCCACAACACTCAGAAGGCTTCGAACTGGGCCCTGGAAAGATCTAACAGTCAAGGCGTCAGATGTATAGTTGCTATCCTAAGTGTGTTTAAGTTAGAGCTGCTTGGACACTATAAGCTTGAGATCTTGGAAATAAGATGAACATCTGTGTTACAGTTGAACGTTTACTGCTCCCTAACAATAGAGAATCAATTATCACTATGTACACAAACTATACGTCATGTTAATGGTTGTAACCACAAGACTGACTGATACCCGAGGTTCTGCACATACCTGGAGTCACCTCCCTTGCACTGAACTAAATACATAAGCTTGCTAACGGGAGCTCAGGGTTCAGAAGCTGGTGAGCTCTGGACCCTGGTACCCCCTCCTTTCTCAGTTCTTTGGCCTGGTATCTTGTCGTGCTGTTCCTGGTTGTGGGCAGCAGCCATGCAGATGGCGTGAGCCATCACTCAGGCCATGCAACTGGCTTTGGTGGTGGAGACACCTGTTCTCCCATTCAGCCCAGGGGCTGCCACATCTGGGGCCTCTGCCTGCCAACATGTCTGCTATTAGCCACACACACAACAAAAGTGTGGCAAGCCATCCCGTCTACCACCCAACTGGCAAGAGCCAACTGACACTCTTGGGTGGGCTTCCAAGGCTGGGGAAGAAGTGGCCAGGGAAGTCGTAATAGAGAAGCAATTACTGGGGGAGTAGCAGCTGCCTAACGTTTTAAAAAGACTGGCCACAGGCCATGGGACAGCATGGTGCCCATTTGGGATGAAAGTAAGAGACCTACAAGGGTTCCTGCATTGAAAAACAGAGTGTAGGGGCTGGGAAGGTGGCTCAGTGGTAGAACGCTTGCCTTGCATGCATGAGGCCCTGGGTTCGATTCCTCAGCATCACATAAGCAAAAAGAAAAAAAACCGGAAGTGGCGCTGTGGCTCAAGTGGTAGAGCGCTAGCCTTGAGCTGAAGAGCTGAGGGACAGCGCCCAGGCCCGAGTTCAGGCCCCACAACAGGACCCCTCCCTGCCCCCCCAAAAAAAGAAAAACAGAGTGTAGTCTGGTTCAGTGGCCGGGGCCTATAATCGTAACTACTCAGGAGGCTAAGACCTAAGGGTTAAAGTTCAAAGCCAGCAGAGGACAAATCCAGTGATTCCCATCTCCAGTTAACCAGCAAAAAGCCAAAACTGGAGTGTTAAAAAGCCAACTAGGAGGGGAAAAGTCCAGCGAGATAGTGCCTTGAGTTCAAGCCCTAGTCCCAGCGCCAGGGAGGGGGAGGGGGGAGGGGGTGCCTCTGCTGGACAAACAGCTCCTGAAGAGACAAAGGGCCGCCCTTCCTCCCTCCTTCCTCTCTCCCTCCCTCCTCCCTCCCTCCCCTCCCTCACCTCCTTTCTCCCTTCCTCCCTCACCTCCTTCCTCCCTCCCTCCTTCCTTCCTCACCTCCTTCCTCTCTACCTCCTTCTTCCCTCCCTCCCTCCCCTCCTTCCTCCCCTCCCTCCCTCCTCCCTCACCTCCTTCCTCCCTACCTCCTTCCTCCCTCCCTCCCTCCCCTCCTTCCTCCCCTCCCTCCCTCCCTTCCTTCCTTCCTCCCTCCTTCCTTCCTCCCTCCCTCCCTCCCTTCCCTCCTCCCTCCCTTCTCCCCCCCTCCCTCCCCTCCTTCCTCCCTCCCTCCCCTCCCTCCTTCCTCCCTCCCTCCTTTCTCCCTCCCCTCCCTCCTCCCTCCCTCCCTTCCCTCCTTCCTCCCACCCTCCTTCCTCCTTCCCCTCCTCCCTCCCTCCCGTCCCGGCGCCCTGAGGACCGGGCTCTGGAAGGCGCACTGGGGTCACAGGAGCTGGGGGGGTCTCTCCCGCCTCCTGGAAACCACCAGGCGGAAGGTCCGCCGCCCAGTGACCTCCTGCACGTTCCACGCCAGGGCCTGCGCAAAGCCGGCCCCGGACCCGGCCCCGCCCCCGCCCCAAGCCCGCCCCCGCGGCCCCGCCTCGCCCCAACCCCGCCCCCGCCCCGCCCCTGCCCCAACCCCGCCCCCGCCCCGCCCCTGCCCCAACCCCGCCCCCGCCCCGCCCCTGCCCCAACCCCGCCCCCGCGGCCCCGCCTCGCCCCAACCCCGCCCCTGCCCCGCCTCGCCCCCGTGGCCCCGCCCCTGTCCCGCTCCAGCCCCTCCGCTGGCCCCGCCCCTGCCCCGCTCCAGCCCCTCCCCGGCCCCGCCCCTGCCCCGCTCCAGCCCCTCCCCGGCCCCGCCCCTGCCCCGCTCCAGTCCCTCCCCGGCCCCGCCCCTGCCCCGCTCCAGTCCCTCCCCGGCCCCGCCCCTGCCCCGCTCCGCTCCAGCCCCTCCGCCCCGGCCCCGGCCCCGGCCCCGCCCGGCCCCGCCCGGCCCCGCCCCTGCCCCGCTCCGCTCCAGCCCCTCCGCCCCGGCCCCGGCCCCGCCCGGCCCCGCCCCTGCCCCGCTCCAGCCCCTCCGCCCCGGCCCCGGCCCCGGCCCCGCCCGGCCCCGCCCCTGCCCCGCTCCGCTCCAGCCCCTCCGCCCCGGCCCCGGCTCCGCCCGGCCCCACCCCTGCCCCGCTCCGCTCCAGCCCCTCCGCCCCGGCCCCGGCCCCGCCCCCGCTCCGCTCCAGCCCCTCCGCCCCGGCCCCGGCCCCGCCCGGCCCCGCCCCTGCCCCGCTCCAGCCCCTCCGCCCCGGCCCCGGCCCCGGCCCCGCCCGGCCCCGCCCCTGCCCCGCTCCGCTCCAGCTCCTCCGCCCCGGCCCCGCCCGGCCCCGCCCCCGCTCCGCTCCAGCCCCTCCGCCCCGGCCCGCGGCCCCGGCCCCGCCCGGCCCCGCCCGGCCCCGCCCCGCCCCTGCCCCGCTCCGCTCCAGCCCCTCCGCCCCGGCCCCGCCCGGCCCCGCCCCCGCTCCGCTCCAGCCCCTCCGCCCCGGCCCGCGGCCCCGGCCCCGGCCCCGGCCCCGCGGCCTCCACCCCGCGGCCCGCGGCCCGGCGCGGCGCCCGCCCCACTCACCTGGTGCGCGAAGCCCCGCAGGTGAGCCATGTCCGCGCCGCCGCCGCGGCCCGCCGTGCGCCCGCCGCCCGGACGCCCGCACGGCCTCGCTCAGGCCCCTGCGAGAGAAGGGAGCCGCGGGTCGGGGTCGGCCCGGAGACCCCGCGCCGCGCCCGTCCCTGCCCGCCGGGCACCCCGGCTCGCTGCCCTCCGCGGGCCGTGCTCTAGCGGCGCCCACCTCCGGGGGGCTTCATTCCGGCCTTCCGGCCCGCTCCGCCGCACCGCCCGCAGCCCCAGTCTCCAGGAACGCCCAGGCCTTCCCTCGGCGAGACAGCGGCGGCCGCGACCCACCAAGGCGTCGTGGCGGGCGCGAGGCTTTCTGGGACCGCGAGTTCTGTAACCCACGCCGTGCCTAGGACCTACGGGCGCTGAACTACAATTCCCAGCAGGCCGAGCGGCGGCGAAGGGGCCGCGAGACGCAACCACCGCTACGGACGCTGACTACAAGTCCCGGCAGGCCTCTGAGGGCGCTGGGAGAACGCAAGCGCAGAACAGACTCCCTGGAAGCCGACTACAAATCCCGGCAGCTTGCGGGGGGCGGGAGGGCGCAGGCGCACCACGCGGCTGCTCGGGGCAGGGACTCCCATTGGGTGGCGCTCTGGGACGCTGAAAGCTGAGCAGCGGCCTAGAAGCCCCTTCCCGAGCCTCTGGCCCTCCCGTCGGGGGTCCTCCCGTCGGGGGGTCCTCCCGTCGGGGGTCCTCCCGTCGGGGGTCCTCCCGTTCGTGCCCGCGCGTGGGCGCCTCGCAGCCAGCGGGAGCCGCCCGTCCGGTCCGTGCGGGCCTGTCCCTCAGTCCGTGCCCGCGGCACCTCCGGCCCTGGTGCTCAGTGTCCTTGCACTTCCAGAAGCACCTAGAACTGAGCCTTCGGCGTCCGCCCTCGACGGAGCAACGCTCGTCCTCCGTAGCGCTGAGCAGGCCTCCCGCTTCCCAGGATCTCCAGTTCCTGCCTCCGCTTTCAGACCTGGATCCTGAGGACGGGGACCTCGAGGGGGTCGGAGGCCTCCTGATGGGGCTCCCGTGGGCCGTGGGCCGTGGTCGGCTGAGCTCCCGTGGGCCGTGGGCCGTGGTCGGCTGAGCTCCCGTGGGCCGTGGGCAGTGGCCGGCTGAGCTCCCGTGGGCCGTGGTCGGCTGAGCTCCCGTGGGCCGTGGGCCGTGGTCGGCTGAGCTCCCGTGGGCCGTGGTCGGCTGAGCTCCCTTGGGCAGTGGTCGGCTGAGCTCCCGTGGGCCGTGGTCGGCTGAGCTCCCGTGGGCCGTGGTCGGCTGAGCTCCCGTGGGCAGTGGTCGGCTGAGCTCCCGTGGGCAGTGGTCGGCTGAGCTCCCGTGGGCCGTGGGCCGTGGTCGGCTGAGCTCCCGTGGGCCGTGGGCCGTGGTCGGCTGAGCTCCCGTGGGCCGTGGTCGGCTGAGCTCCCGTGGGCCGTGGTCGGCTGAGCTCCCGTGGGCCGTGGGCCGTGGTCGGCTGAGCTCCCGTGGGCCGTGGTCGGCTGAGCTCCCTTGGGCAGTGGTCGGCTGAGCTCCCGTGGGCAGTGGTCGGCTGAGCTCCCGTGGGCAGTGGTCGGCTGAGCTCCCGTGGGCCGTGGGCAGTGGTCGGCTGAGCTCCCGTGGGCCGTGGGCCGTGGTCGGCTGAGCTCCCGTGGGCCGTGGTCGGCTGAGCTCCCGTGGGCCGTGGGCCGTGGTCGGCTGAGCTCCCGTGGGCAGTGGTCAGCTGAGCTCCCGTGGGCCGTGGGCCGTGGTCGGCTGAGCTCCCGTGGGCCGTGGGCAGTGGTCGGCTGAGCTCCCGTGGGCCGTGGGCCGTGGTCGGCTGAGCTCCCGTGGGCCGTGGGCCGTGGTCGGCTGAGCTCCCGTGGGCCGTGGTCGGCTGAGCTCCCGTGGGCCGTGGGCCGTGGTCGGCTGAGCTCCCGTGGGCCGTGGGCAGTGGTCGGCTGAGCTCCCGTGGGCCGTGGGCAGTGGTCGGTTGAGCTCCCGTGGGCCGTGGTCGGCTGAGCTCCCGTGGGCCATGGGCCGTGGTCGGCTGAGCTCCCGTGGGCCGTGGTCGGCTGAGCTCCCGTGGGCCGTGGTCGGCTGAGCTCCTGTGGGCCGTGGGCAGTGGTCAGCTGAGCTCCCGTGGGCCGTGGGCCGTGGTCGGCTGAGCTCCCGTGGGCCGTGGTCGGCTGAGCTCCCGTGGGCCGTGGTCGGCTGAGCTCCCGTGGGCAGTGGTCGGCTGAGCTCCTGTGGGCCGTGGGCCGTGGTCAGCTGAGCTCCCGTGGGCCGTGGGCCGTGGTCGGCTGAGCTCCCGTGGGCCGTGGTCGGATGAGCTCCCGTGGGCAGTGGTCAGCTGAGCTCCCGTGGGCCGTGGGCAGTGGTCGGCTGAGCTCCCGTGGGCAGTGGTCGGCTGAGCTCCCGTGGGCTGTGGGCAGTGTTCGGCTGAGCTCCCGTGGGCAGGTGGTCAGCTGAGCTCCCGTGGGCCGTGGGCCGTGGTCGGCTGAGCTCCCGTGGGCAGTGGGCAGTGGTCGGCTGAGCTCCCGTGGGCAGTGGTCAGCTGAGCTCCCGTGGGCAGTGGTCAGCTGAGCTCCCGTGGGCAGTGGTCGGCTGAGCTCCCGTGGGCAGGTGGTCGGCTGAGCTCCCGTGGGCCATGGGCAGGTGGTCAGCTGAGCTCCCGTGGGCAGTGGGCAGCGGTCGGCTGAGCTCCCGTGGGCCGTGGGCAAGTGGTCGGCTGAGCTCCCGTGGGCCATGGTCAGTGGTCGGCTGAGCTCCCATGGGCAGTGATCAGCTGAGTTCCCGTGGGCAGTGGGCAGGTGGTCAGCTGAGCTCCCGTGGGCAGTGGCGTCTGGTGGTTAGCTGAGCTCCTAGGGGCAGTGGTGTCCAGTGGTCAGCTGTGTGTGGCTCATTTGGGTTCAGGGTCCAGGGCCATGACAATAACATGGCAAGGCCAGGATGGAACTCAGCTCCCTGAAGCCCCTCTGGCACTGCTGAAGAGGCCTCGGTCGGCCTTGTGGACACGGAGCTAAACAGTGGCTACGGTGGGACTGCCTGGGAAAATCCACCTCCAGCACCCAGGCACATCAGGCCAGGGGGCCTCCCTGTCACCGAATACGTGAGATGAAGCCCAGAGAGGGTGAGATCTACCAGGGACAGCACAGCACAGACTCCACCAGGGTTAGAGTCCACCCTGGTCTAAGTAAGTGGGCACTGATTATTCCTCTTTCCTAACTGAAGACCTGCTACATTACCAAAAGGGGCTGAGAAAGAGGATCTAAACTCTAACTCTGAAGAAGTAATTTCCCAGAAGGTGAGAAAATGCCACAAGTGTCCAGTGGCAAAGCTTGATGCTGAGCAAGGGGAAGAAGCCTTGCCTCCGGCCCTGCCAGGAAGGTGGGGGGTGGCAGGTTTGTGCCTGAATCCGTAGGCTCGCCCGCAGGCCTCTGCCCCCTCCCTTCCCCAGCACAGGAGCCCACACACCATGACCTCCCGGGCACAAAGGATGGGGTGAGGTATTGACTCCAGAGACCCTGACTGTCCTAGAAAAAGTGCCCCGCAGGGTGGCTTTCAGGCTGCTTACCACATCCCGTACCCTTCCCCAAGCAAAGCGCGGTTTTGACACTCCCACCAGTTTTTAATCTCTTAATTCTTTTTTCCTTCTCTTTCTTTTCTTCCTTCTCTCTTTCTTTCTTTCTTTCTGTCTGTCTGTCTGTCTGTCTTGCCTCCACCTCCAAGGGCTGGGGGCACAGGCATGCACCACTATGCCCAACTTGACATCTTCATATCTACTTCCTGTCACCTCTTTACACAGACGGCTCAGGATCGCTGTGTCTGGGGTTTTCATGTGAGTATTCCTGCGAATGACTTGTGTTTGAAGATTTGGTCCTGACGGGCAGCGCTATTGACCCATGGCTGATTCCCGAGGGCTGGCCTGAGCCGTGGACCGATTCACACCGTGTTGTTACTGAGGACGGCGGGAAGACAGGCAGGGCCTGGGCAGGGCCTCGGAGGAGTAGATCGCTGGGGTGTGCCTGGCAAGGCACACTGTGCTTCAGGAACCTTCTCCTGTTTCCTGGCTGCCATGAGGGGAACCTCTCAGCTCCACCACACGCTCCGCCCCCGGTCAGCTCCTCCCCCGGTCAGCTCCTCCACACGCTCCACCCCCGGTCAGCTCCTCCACACGCTCCACCCCCGGTCAGCTCCACCACACGCTCCTCCCCCGGTCAGCTCCACCTCCAGTCAGCTCCACCCTCGGTCAGCTCCTCCACACGCTCCACCCCCGGTCAGCTCCTCCCCTGTCAGCTCTGCCCCCGGTCAGCTCCTCTCCTGGTCAGCTCCACCCCCGGTCAGCTCCACCCCGGTCAGCTCCACCCCGGTCAGCTCCGCCCCCGGTCCGCTCCTCCCCTGGTCAGCTCCATCCCTGGTCAGCTCCACCCCGGTCAGCTCCGCCCCTGGTCAGCTCCTCCCCTGGTCAGCTCCACCCCCGGTCAGCTCCCCCACACGGTCCTCCCCAGGGCAGCCTTGCCCCAGCCTCTCAGCAGAGGGCCAGGACGGGGAAGTGTACTGGAGCAAGGGAGAGGGTAATGTAGGGAGAAATCGGAAAGGGAGGAGAAATGTCTTCCTGCTCCCAGGCAGGAGAGAGAAGTGAAGAGGGCTCCGATGGTGGTCACGCTCTAGTCCCGGCTAGGACTCCAGGCCTGAGCTGCAGCTGCCCAGTTCACCGCCGCTCCCCTAGTATTTGTTGAATTTCATCATATTATCTCGCAACCTCTAATCCTTTGCTGTGTTTCCAGACATTGAGACAAGTGTTAGGTTGAATTTATTGTCTAAAACAAGGCTGAAATGGGTTTTCTTTATTATCTACAAACATGAAGACAAATGATTTTGTTTACCCAAAACAGGGGAAATAGGTGTGAATTTCCTGTGTGTCTTGTAACTTAACAGGAAAGTTTTTTGTTCTGATTTTTTTCAGTTTTATTTCCTGGTTCTATTTTAATTCCCAAATCTGGTCTGATAATACACAAACACAAACATACACGATTTATATGTATTTATAATTTTTAATCTCTGTTGCTTTATCTCTTTGTCTCAAAATCTCAGAAATCAGGAGCAAAAAAGATCTTTCCTCTAAGTTGCTTGTGAGTTTCCTCACAGTGATAGGAGACTAACAGAACTAACCAGAATGAGAATGATGATCTAGGAAGAAACAGGAAATACAGAGGATGGAGAAATGAAGAATGTGCCATACTGTCTTAGACTGCCCAGTGGGAGATGAAAACACCACACTCCAGAAACAACACCAGAATATTTCAGGAAACCACCCAATTAAAAAC